GGAATGATCGGGACCGCAGAAGAGAGAAACCGCGCGGAGAGTGTTTTGGGGGGTTTCGAACGAGGCAGTGCTAGACAAAATCGGAGTCGCTCGACGATGAATCTTCACTACCGCCATCGACGAAATCATCCATGTCGTACTGCATCTCGGCGAGTTTATGGTTCTCAATCGTCAGCTCGACATATCGGCATAGTCCCTGGATGAAGTCGCCGCCGTCAACATCCGGAGACTGTTCGACCGGTGCATCCGACATTGGAACATCGCCATCATCATCGTCTTCCGAACTTGAGTCATCTTCAATATCGCTGGGGGGCTCGGCATAGTTCCGCTTAGTCCTCCACACACTAGACGTAGGCGAGGGGTAGGGATTGACATCTCGAGCAGAGATCCGACTACTTCGACGTCGCGAAATCCCAGATCCTGTGCCCTTATCCTCCTGAAGAGCAGTCTTATCCTCGGTGCGAGTGCTGGGTCTGCGAGGCGGCTGCAGCGAAATCAGCGGCTCTGGCGGCTTGCCTGCGGGCTGAAGAAACACGGCCTCGAGGCGTGCAAGCCACTCACTCCGCATCGTCGCCCGCTTTCGCCAGTCCAGATCAAGCATTGATTTTATGACCAGATATCGCAGATTTAGCAGATTCTTGGCGTCATTAATCAAAGACTGCAAAAACATGACGGCTGCATCATAAGTCCAGGGCCGTATGTGCAGGAGCTCAATATGGCGGATCGAGCGTGGCCAGCGGGGCACCTGGTCCTCCGAGAGCGCAAAGTCGAAAAATGGGTTCGAGCTGTTCGTCTCGGGGTCCTTGAAGTACCCCATGTTAACTTCGAGTTCTTCGAGATTGGGGCAAACATCACGAAGCATGGTCAAGAAGCTGAGGTCCAAGGATTGGTTGTTCCTTAGAGTCAGGCTTCGGAGATTCTTGCCGTGAGTGAGAAGAAACTCGGTGAGATGCGCGGCCTGGAGATTCCAGCAATGGATGATTTCCAAGTGCTTCAAACCGGGCGGCAGATACGAGAGAAACTCTCCATCAACGGCAAAGCATGCTTCGAGTACCAAGTGCTCAAGATTTTTCAAAGGTGTAATAACCTTTGCGCATTCTTGGGCAGACCTCGACCGGGGGTTAGGGCTAGCAAGTTCAAACCCGGTCAGCGGCATGTCATCTGCCGGGTTAGTATATCCTAGAGACGGAAAGTTGACCAAGTGTAGACTCTTCAGGTGTCGCAGCGGGCCTGTTGTGTGCAGTTGTATCAAGGAATCTGGCGTGAGGCTACCCAAGAGCCTCCAGGACCATTTCCAGGACAGCAGCTTGCTCGGTTTCTGAATCATTCCGGGTCGCGTGTCAACGCGGTTCTCCAAGAGATTCCAAAAATCTGGATAATTTCGCCTCGGCATTGACGTGAGGTCACGGTAGGGCGGCTCATCAAGCTCATGGTCGATTGAGAAGTGTCGCAGTCGAGGAAGGTAAATTAACAAGGTTTCAATCATGTAATTGGTGGGGATGAATCGCGGACCAAGATGGAGACTGTGAACCTTGCTGGGATAGTTGAACATGTTGCTGGGTCGGCATAAAGTGGCAACGAATTTCTGCAACTTCGCCTCGGTTGTTATTACCGGGTTGGAATATAGGACCGTGAGCGCCGGTTCGGCGAAGGCCTTGCAGACAGTGGCGGTTTCCAGAAGCCAGCTTCGATTCAGATACCCGGCTTCCGTAGCCGCGTAGCCTAGGACAGCTGCCCAGTGTGGCTGCATGGCTGGTACAATCCAGTTGGGAACAATTTCGTGCTCCTTTGGGACCTCATGGGCGGGCTTGTCAAGAAGGACAAGACTCACATTCCGCTGCGGCCTTTTCGGGGGATTTCGGCGTTTCGCTGTGCGGGTAGACCTACGCAGTCGTCGGCTAGAAGTGGGGTGTTTCGGAGCCGGGGCATTGAAATCGGAATCGGCAGAGTCGTCTCCGTCATCCGAAAGATCTGTGATGTCTGTGGTGTCTAGTGCCGAATCAATCACGTTGGTGGGGTTCTTGCCTCTTCTGGCCCCCGGCTTGCTGATGAGAAAGTGATCATATATCGTTCCAGTGGAACGATTAGAACGTCGACGCCCCATAGCTCCTGCGAGCACTGCTTTCTGGGCACGAGTTCGGGGCCGGCCACTAGTCGGGGAGTCTAACAGTCTCTGCTTCAAGTCACGGCGCGCGATATTACGAATGCGCGACGAGGAGCGAGTCGCCCCGCTTGATGGAGCGCGTGCCATTCTGACCTATCAAGACCAGTGTGCGCATGGGTGAGGCACGTCGTAAACGGGTACGCGCGATGTTGCACTGCAAGACTAGTTAGGACAAGTAGAAAGATGGGTAGGGATGAGTGGGTGGCGGCTGATTGTGGATAAGGATGGCCAGGGCTGACGCATCGTCCTGTACCGTACCTTCAGACTGGTCTTAAGGAACCGGATGGGGACCTCGAGATAAAGAACTGCAGCCTCGGGGGAGAAAATAAAACGAGACAGAAGAAAAGAAGAGAATCGAGTGCAGTCGAGCCGAGAAGGAAAAAAAAAAAAAAAGTTTAAACTAAAAGGGCGCGTGGGTGGATTGAAAAAGATAAAAGTCAAGGCGGTGTTGTGAATGGGATATAGAAGCGAAGCTCAAGGTGCCTTAACCGGGTCACAGCTGAGGACTTGAGGACTTGCACCAGGAACTCGGGTCAGACGAACTTGACTGGAGGAGCTTGACGTGAAGGATGTCGGAGGGAGCTGAGGGGCAACAAATTGCGGGATGGGGGACGAAGTGGGGGGTAGGTATGATGCCTGCTTACAGTTGTTTGCTCTTGCCACCAACCAAGTATCCTCGATTGTGTACTTCTAGCCACGTGACATAGGCGATTTGTCACCAGTCGGGGTACATTCGACATTTGGCAGGTGAGCATTCGATGCTTGGGACAATTTTGTAAGTACTCTAGTTTCATCGATCGCGGTATCAAATGACAATACAAGCAGGCGTACCTGCCTTCCGCTCTTGTCGCAGTTAAGTAGAATTACATGTGTAAACAAATCTGGAGGGTTCATTGATACTACGTCAGTAGACCAGACCAGACTCGAACACCCTTTCTTCTATTCGGGGAATCGGTTACTGCGGGACTGTGCCGTTTATTTCAGGCCGTCTCAAGCAGGTAAACTACAAGGCTGCCAAAATGCTAGCCCCATATTCATCAAGCGTTTTGAATAAGTTTGTTCAATGTCCTGAATTAGACAGATATCAACACGCACTAGAACAAGGAGCCCGGCGTGCATGCCTTTACCACGGTTATGACACTTAGTGCGAACAGGCTCCTCACCTAATATGAGCTCTTGATGTACGAAGTACTTTGCAGACACTTGATCAGCCACAATTCTATGTCGGCAAGGTTAACGCGTAGGATGGGCGTAACCCGACAGAGATTACTTCGGGTATTGTAGAACATTCTGCCTCCTGCCAGGATCCAAAGACTATCGGCGGCGACTACAATCGAAAGAAGGAATACAAAGATATTGCTCCCTTCATGTGGCCATGCCTCGCCAAGATATGCATTAATGCCAAATGAGATCGCCCGTTTAAAGCCATTCCCATACACTTCGTGCGACATTAGGAAGGTACATATATCCTTGTACCCCAGCAGGGTCTGGACCCACCCAGACTATCCTATTTGGGAAAGCCCACGGAGGTACGAAGGTACATGACGAAGTACAAGAATCTGGGCCAGTTCAGCGGCGCGTGCTCGTGCTTGCCAGAGAGAAGGAAGCAGCGGGTGGGTGGGCAGCAAAAACTGGTCTGGCCTCTTGTTGATTTTCGAGAATAGGAGCGACTTCATACGCGTTCTATCTCTCTATTCCTCAGATCAACCTCTTCCAGTTCCAACATCAGCCAACATCTCGCACAACGCCGCGTTCATCTCCGCGGCATATCAACTCAGTCTGCTGAGTCTATAGCCATCAGGAATGTCTGTTCTATGAAATTTTCGTGTTCAAATTATCCTCGCGGGCTTTGCCGTTTACAATTTGACACCTCCCATCCGTGTCGCGCGGCTTTAAGTTTCCGCCATACGCAATCTGCCTTGCGCCTCTCTCGTCCAGTCTCGCTCACACTCGACTGGCTCGCATTGTGAGAGGTTGCAATCTCTATTCTCTCGCTCCATCTCTCTCTCGCGCTCAACGCATATTCCATTCCATCCCATCCTCTTCACCCTCCCTTCGGTCCCCGACTCTGCGAAACTCTTGGAGGATCGAATTATCCAGCAACCACACACACATCTTGGCCATCTTCATCACCAGCTCAGACTCTCTTATTTTTCTTCTCTCTTTCACCTTCGTGCCCTGCAGCAACAGCGGCGAGACAACGACAACAGCAACAAAAACGTGGCTATTTGTTCATTTCCCCTCTCACATAAACTATTACCCCTTTTCTGCTCATGCGATTCATTCAGCTTCATCTTTAAATCCTTCTTTCACGTCTTTTGCCTTTTTTTTTTTTTTTCTCTCTTTTTTATTTCACACCCCTGACTCTCAGTCTCACATTTTCCTGGAACGGAGCCTCGCGAAAGAGAGAGCATTCAGCTATAGTTGCAGTTCTTCTTCTGCCCTTGTGCTGTCACCTTTACTTTCGCTGTTTTCAACTTCGACAATCTCGTGCTCTGTTTCGCCCCCTTATACTTGTCCGTGTCAGCAACTGGATCTACTACCCGCAACTACGGCGTGCGCGTTTATTTCAGCCGAGGAAATCTGGCAAGGCTAAAATCTCAATCTCTTCCACAACACTCCCTCTCTTCGGCCATCCCTCCCCATTCTCATCATCGCATTCCGCTCGACTCGGCCAATCTTTTCTCCCTGGTCCCCCAGACTATGCGTGTCATCAAATCCTATTTGGACTTCGCATCTCATCAAGACTCCCCCGTTTCACACCACGCCACACGTTAATTACCTAGTGTAATCAGTCTGGTGCTTTGTCTTGCGCCTCTCATGCGTCATCTCAAGGATGACATTGGCCAATATCCCCCGGCGCCAGCTGCCCTATCTGCAGCGGAATTGGAACCAAGGCGCCAACGACTGGTCGAGTCCTACCAAACTCAGCAATGGATATGATGGCCATAATGGAGCTGAGCCTGAGAATCGGCCCTCCAAGCGCCCAAGGCTTGCGGAAGATGCGACGCCCGAACTGACGGACACTCCATCGTTGGATGAGGTTCTATTGCCCAAGGTTCCCAGCTCGGCACCTAGGTTCTTACGAGTCGATGTTTTGAAAATTGTTCACAAGGACTTCGAGCGCCGGGTAAAACCTAGTGTCAGCCTTAGCAATCTAGACACGCCGCCGCAGCCCTTGTCCAATTTACTCACGATCAGGGCCTCCTGCAAGATCACCATCCTAGATAACTCGCCGTTGTGCAAGCATGCTCCGCCCGTTCTCTATTGTAATAGCCAGCCCTGCACGATCAAGACTTTCAAGAACCCCGTCGGGAGTTCTCCCATGGCCAGGGTGTACTTGGAACGGCCCTTCTTCGTCCCTGACACGATCCTCAAAATCGTCAAGGAGGATGGCTCATATGATTTGGCCGACAATTACCGACTAGACGTCGAGCTGAGTGCCGCCGATGGAAAGGAGTGGCCGCCACTGGATCTCACGATCCCCCCGGAACGTAACAGCCAGGGTGCGCGGAGATGGGTACTTCTTGCCTGTTTGGTTGACTTGTTCAAGAGATCACGCATGTCTGTGGATCTTTACATGCATCAGTATACACGGGAATGCATTCTCCGCACCAGCTATATCGTCGACATTGATGCACGCTGGTCAGTCGGTTGCGAGCGGCGACCCTCGACTCCTGAGAAGGGTGTTATGTCCTCCATCACTGTAAGCGTTGCTGACTCAAATAACGGCGTTGTCGCAAACGGGACAGACTTGAATGGCGTCCCGACCCCAGAAACTCTGGTGAACGGGGCCTCTAATGCGTCCGTCAACGGATACGCCGGGGAGGGCAGCGAAGAGCCCGAAGGAGACACAACGCCGAACCGAGCCCTACGTACCCGGGAGAATAAGGTCTACAACCTCAAGCTTCTTAGCGATAAAGCCCAAGGAAAAAGCAAGGACAAGGACCGGAGACGCCGAAAACGGGATGATGGTCAGGTCACATATCTCCTTGGTACTGATCAGGCCCCTCTTCAGGTTCCTCTGGACTCGTACGGCTGCCTCGCATGCGGAGTCACACATCAATCGCTTCAAATCTTGCAAATGCATCTCAGTTCGGCTCATCCCGGGTTCGTGTGCGATCTCCGATACTCAAAGGGTGCCTGCCAGTTCCGCGTAACGGATCGAAATGATTGGCTCGCGTCTGACTCCAAGGAGTTCCAGTTCACCAGCGCCACGAAGACTCTGGGCTTCGATACTGCACCGGAGGCCAAAGAAAGGCGGCAACCCGGCGCGCCTCAACCGGCCCCAAACGTTGCGCAAAGACCAACTCAACCCGTAAGTTACACGTCATTTAACCGTTTTCTACATTTTTATTCTGCCTCAATTTTTGGCGGGGACGGAGTGGAGAGGGGGCGTCGGGCAAGGCTTACCCAATGCTCGCCGAGCCTTGGGCCGCATCATGGATCAGCCTACTAAACTCAACCAAATTTACAGAAGCCAGTCGTGAAGAAGCCGAAGAAGAAGGTTCTAGTTCCTCAGACCAAGCAGCCCCTATATGACTCTGTCAGTAGAGCGCTTCTTGAACCTGGAACCGAACTTGTTCCGCCAAAAAGCGACGATAGATGGTGGATCCAGAAACATCGCGACGTTATTTCAGATTTTGTCGATATTGAGCTTCCTGAGAGGGAGTACATCCTCGCTTGGGATAAGTTTGTGCTCCCCAAGCGACTCTCTTCGGAAGGCTTTGTCCCTAAGATTCTACTGGAATTCTTGAGTGCGAAAGCCGCCTGGATCGTGTCCTCGGAGCAACGGGAAGAGGAGTTCTTTAAGCACTTGGCATATTTGCAACTCCGGGACGTTTTGGATCAAAAAACTCTTGACGCAGTAAATCTCATATTGGGTGACGCCCGAGCAGCGAAGGCGGCCAAGGACGCCGAAACGGAATCCCAGGACGACACATCTAGTGACACCTGGAAACGGGAGGAACCATCCTGTGTGATCTGTAAATTACCACCAGTCGGGGTTATTTGCACCCTCGTCTGCTCCAATGCTGTAAGTTTCCGCCCAACCCAGCCCAGCTGTTTTCGGAGCCACCATTCATTCTTTTCCACTGAGCTCAAACGTAATGTGATCATTATGGAGAAGATTCAATACTGAGAAGATATCTAGGATTGCGGCAAATATTTCCACCTTACCTGCATTCAGGATGCGATCAAGATGAAGCCCACAGAAGAAAAGTGGCTCTGCAACGACTGCGTTGACAATGCTCCGGAGACTAGAGATGTTCCAGCACAGGGTGCATAGAGTGCACGGTTGAGAATAGCTCGCCCTCCAAAAGGGCGATATTCGAGGTTCGGATGATACAACGCCGGCGAGACGTTTCATTAGATGTTCATTAGATCTGACTCTTCAACAACAGGATGGGGGAGCAGCGGCGGTGTAGGGCAAAGCCGCGCAAGCAAAACTAACAACAAGAAGGGTGCAAGAAGACCTTGCTTGATGGGTATATAATGCCAGGATTTTTTGTACACTACATCACCAACCTAATTATGGCATGGCACGGCGTTTTACTGCAGACGGGCTCACTTTCTTTTCTCTTCATGGCTTTCAGTCTCAAGAAGGTGGTGGCATCTCCGGTTTACGTTTACATACAAAGCTGAGCGGTATGGGAATCATCGAAGTCCATTGTATACACAGGACCCGGCAACAGCCTTGCGTTCGGGGAGTATATCTGGGGTTTTTTCTTTCACCTTTCTTACCTTTTTTTTTTTTTTTCTTTTTCTCTTCCTTTTGTTCCATTGACATTGTTTTTTCAGTCTCTTTTCCTTTGTACGATTCGACAAACATTTCAGTTCCTTGTTGGATGCGTTTACAATTGTAATGGCGATGAAGGTTGACGTTTTGAAATGCTCTGGGTGTCCTTTGAGCCTTGAGACTCGACTTCACGACGATTCAATTTTTAGAGAACAAAACACGTTGAAGGCCTTTTAATACTGTCAATCGGAATGCGAATCGATGAGTCCGAAACTCCCAATCCAGCCTGGTCTTTCTCCTGGCAATGCAATGTTGTACAATGTTGTACTTAGGAGAACATTGGATCAAGAGCGTTTTGAGGGTGACTGACTAATGAAATTCACTCGGTCCATCCTTGCCACATGTACAATTGTACTTCGGTTGGATGATGCACATGTGTGTGTTTGAAGAGTCTTTTGAGTTAACCCTCTTGTCTTTTGACTAGTTTAATCGGTTTCTGAACTCTCTAGTAACAGAACACGTTTGATAATATAGACGTAAAGAAACGAGGAATACACATAACCTCAATGTTCCCCGTCTATCACGCTCGACAGGCTTGAATGTTGTGTTCTTCATAAATCAGATAACACGCAAAAATTGTATAATCTTGTATTAAGATGTGATAAAAAGGCTGTGAAACGCGAAACAGACGTTCCACACATAGAGTTGAAGCGTCTATATGTAATCCTGTCAAGAATACGTTGAATAGCTCTTGTTCTTCAACTCGGGACTAAGCACGTACGCATTTTCACATGACGAGACTGAGAAGTTTATTCTTGCTTTATTACTATTTACAACTTGGACGTCTTGATAGCCGTTAAACATGTAACATGCGTGCAAAACCACGGAACACCGGGGAGTATGTGTCTAGCCTTATTACTAAAATACACGGATAACCCACCTTTTACTCATTTGATCTTGCAAACGTAGCCCGTGACTACCTAACTGTCCAGGGCGTGTATGCTCTCTACACAACGTGGGTTAAGTATTGTAAGGACAGCTGGGGCAGTGGCTATATAAGACTACTTCCAGTCAAGTGGCGCTGGTCGCGACACGTGGAGCATCTTTGTCGTCATATATCTCAGTTGTAAGTCAAACGTGACAAGTATATATGAGATCAATGCAGAATGATGATATAGAATGCCACTCGTTAGCAATATGTCTCCTCGTTGAGACCACCGGTCATCAGCGAGCCACACATATCCCCATAAATCAGGAACCTAAACACAAACAAGCCAGTGTTGAGAGAGGATTATCGTTTTCAGTTAAACGCCAAATCAAGGAAGTCCATCTTCATAGGTACGTTTTGATATGGCGGGCTACCTGCAATGCTTCACTTAGGCATTGTTGCCCCCGTCTTCTTCATATCTATGCTCGAGGGCTCAGATCGCCCGGAATGTAGCGTGTGAGAATCTTGCTTGCCGTCCTAGCCGCCGTATAGTCGAGAGACTCGATGCATACTGTACATATATAATTCTCAATCGAATTACAGCATCTTTACTCGGCTCGAGCTATTCTCTCCAATATCAGAGAGATAGGTAGGTTACGGGGTGGTTGTGTAGAAAATAACCATTGATATCACTTCCCCCAGCTGAGAATTGGAACGCCCATAGTTCGGCGGGCGGGGAGAAGTTTTTGATGGTTTTATTTTCACGAATATCATATCTCAATATCTATCCTCCGGCGCTATGCTTGCGGTAGGGTAGACCAAATGCATATCCTCACCACTCTCCGCTGGACCCCCCCGGGGTGTTTTGAAGATGTCGACACGCCTCCCCAAGCATGCCGCTACACGTCCGAGTGGTCAAGATGTATTATAGCATGGAAGCGAGAGATCGCCTCCCAGTCTAACATCTAGCCACGAGGGACAAAGTTTCCTTCCCATTACGTCTAACGTTCCGTACTCCTTTGGGACATAGAGCCCTAGGGACGGGGCAGAACTCATCCAAGCAGTGTCCTAGTGCAAGTATCAAGCCATTCCGGAGCACGCGTGTTCTCTATCTCTACATACATACGGTACCAAAGGAGACATGACCATACTGACGAAAATAGTGGTGGGGTTGGAAGAGATGGGACCAGGCATCTAGAATATGATGCGAGACTGCCTGCGCTATATAATATACGGGTGGGGTCTTTTTGGATATTTAAAATTTACCTCGACTCCTCTTTGGGTGTACTCCCAGGCATGGATACATTGAATGAGGTCAGTGGGTTGTCTCTAGGAGCTTATGCTTATATAATTAGTGAGTAGTATTCGAGAAGTTGAAAGTAAACCCCATATCTACGGGGCTGAAATAATGCCCAGTATATTGAGGCATCAGGTTGCCTGTCTTGGGCATGCGGTAAAAGCATGGGATCACGACTGTGGTGAGCCCTGAATGTATCCAGACGACGCCGAGCAAGACATGCCATCCTAATCTCAGGCGACTTGTGATGGCTTGAGTCCGAATGGTGAAAAGGGACAAAGAAAAAGAAAATCCTTCGGGTACTATGGGAGAGGGAATCAAACCGATACGCCAGAGATAGTCATTTCGATATGCTTAGTGGTCAAGTGGCTCGATGTCTCGCTGCTGAATTTCCGGTCATCCTGCCCAGTGATCGATTGATTCGGCCTTGCGTGCTTCAGGGCTAATATATAAATATAATACCGAAATAGTCTCTAACCTCATTCTATGGATGCTGTCCCGCCGCACCTATCCCATGAAATAAAACCATGACAATTCCCACATCTCACAGGGGACGAGCTGAGCCCTGCATAAGTATGCGTCGCGCTGTAGGATAATGAGATATTCTATCAATATTTTTAAGGATGTGTGTGTGTGTGTGTGTGTGCGTGTGTGTGTGTGTGTGTGTGTGCATGTGTGCGTGCGTGCGTGCGTGCGTGTGTGTAGTGGAACATCGGATCATGGCATGGTTGAGGTGGGCTGCCGTACTCTTCTGTCTCTTTGCCTCCATTCCATTTCTCCCCTTCAGTGCACACTTCATCAAGCAGCGTGAAATATAGAAAAGAGTCGAGATCATTTCTTATTTCTATATGAAAGAAAACAACCTATTCCGTCCGTGGTTGACGACGCGGTGGCCTGCCTTGACGCCACGTCCTAGATGATCCCAGAGTGTGGGTGGGAATGATGATGAATACATGGCTCGTAAGTAATTCATTCCAGATGAAAACTGTGGATGGAAAGAGTAAATCCCCAGCTTCGTCACACGGGCATCTAAGAAGCCAGAGGAGATTTAAAGAGTTCATGAGGGAAGGTCAAGCAATCTGTCTCTATGAATGCTGTGCTATAATAACGCCCACAGTCCCTAAAGTACAAATAAAGACAGCATGGAGAGATTGATGCTTCCATATTTTCACCCACACGCCTCAAGTTAACGTAACTCCCCTCATCACCAAGCCAATATGAAAATCCCATCCATCCAGGCGTGGCACACTGAGCTTCTCTCCTCTCAGAACTTATACTTGGTCTCTCTCTTCTTCTCATACCTCTTCTCATCCATCTTTTGCCTCTTCCTCGACTCCTGAGCAATCATATCCTGCAAGTCCTCTTCATAGGACCACTTAGCGCCAATGCCCTCTTCCTTCCTCCCTTCCTCGTACCGCCTCTTCACCTCGTCCTTACTAACACCGCCATGCTGAAGAAGCGCGTCGGGATCCAGTGCCACGTCAATGTCGCCAGGCTTCTTCCTCTTGCGCGTATCGTCTTCCTGTCCGAGCACGGGCATGTGGGCCCGCGCCGCGTTGAGGTCATACGTACGCTCGCTGCCGAAGAAGCCCTCGACGCCACGAGCCGCAGCTTCGGGGATGACGGTGTAGGCGGAGCGCGGGTGCGTCGATTCTTCCGTGTCGATGCCGCGGCGGGATTTGCGAAGATCGAGCTCTCCGGCGATGGAGGTCTCCACCCCGGTGGGTGGATATTCCGTCGGTACGGAGCTGACGAAGCCGCTGGGGGTTTCGAGACCGCTTGGCGTCTCGAGGCCGCCGCCGGGAAGCTCTTCTTCTTCGGATCCCTCCTCCTCGGACTCCTCCTCTGATTCTTCCTCTTCGGACTCTTCGCGTGGTTGAAGTTCGCCCCACAGCGTCCTGTCTATGGGTTCTTCGGCGGTGTATTGGGGCTGTGCCACTGCTTGCGAGGGTTGTACGCCGCCAGGGGCAGCAGCACCATTAGGAGCCGCAAGACCGAACACGTCGCCACCGAATAGAGGTCGGTTGAACTCGTCGACGGGAGGCTTGCCCCATCCACCGGGATGGAAGCCCCATGATCCGCCTGGCGGTGGCGGCGCGTTGAGCCCGGGAATCTTGAGGGTAGGATAGGATGGGGGAGGTCCGAATCGTTGTTGGTTAATTAGCCAGGGTGGCGGCGCGCCTGGAGGCATCCCCAACGCCTCCTTTGTCGCGTCGGTAAGCTCACCGGCCCTAAAGTTCTTATAATCTACCTCGCATTCCTTGCCTTCGTAATATACTTCGCCGAACCTCGTGAGCTCAGGCTTGGTCTGGAAGCGGAAGAAGGCATCGTATAGCTTTTGGTAATCGATATCGAGTTTTCCCATCTTAGGTTGCACCCGTTCTCGCTGCTTCTGCTTGAGGGTTTGTTGGTCTTGCTTCTCCAGCACCGCGTCTCGCATCTCGGTGATGCCGGTCTCGGAAATAAATTGTGGCAGCTTGAAGGGCGGCTTCTCAATACCGCGCTTTGATGAAAGGTATTCTCGTTTGAGGGACCAATGCGTCGGTACAGGCACGACGTTACGCTGGGCCTTGATCTGAACGAGCAAGCGGGGATCTGATGACGACGTATCGTGCCACTCGACGACTTCGGGATTCGGGACGAGGGCCTTGAGTTCCGCGATGGAAAGTTTGGTCAGTTGTTTCCTCTTCTTTTTAGAAAGCTTGGGCGCCGCCTCTTCGTCTTCGCTTGGTATTTCGTCGTCGTCGCCGAAGAACACTTCGCCCTTGTTTCCTGCATTCGCCTCCCTCGTAGCTTCATCTTCACCATCGGCCGTAGCGCCAAATTTCTTGAATATATCCTTGAAGTATGAGATGGACGGATCGTCTATCTCGTCGAGGCTGTCGGGCTCGGGCCCATCTACGACGGTTTGACTGGGCCTCTTGACCTCGACATCGGCGTCCGCCTTCTCTCCCTCCTTGATGGCCTTGGATATCGCGTCCTCGCCATCAGTCGGTATGGCAGGCTTGGTTTCATCGGGAATAGGCTTCTCATCGGCGGCTTTGGCTTTCTTCTGTTCCTTCTTCTTCGCTCGCCGCATCTGGTTCTTCGTCATTTTTTGGGCCATGGCGCCGATGTTGACGTCGGTGACGCGACGCTCTGGAGGTGAAGCTTGGGAGGGGCGGTGATCTGGAGGAGGGTGAAGGCGATAATGACGCGCCGCACAAATCGTTTGGGATCCGGTACTTTCGGTGGCATAACGCGCCTCGGCGGGAAAGGAAAAAGAAACGACGGAGGGGGCAAAAAGAAAGAGGAAAAGCGATCTATCAGTATCAGTCGAGTATCTAGCTGAGGAACTAAACGGCGCGGCTGACGGGTATTCCGATTAGCAAGACGGTTGGTTGGATTGTGTTGGTGATATCGTTGCTTAATTCGGAAGAAGAAGGCTTCTTCCTGGGAACAGTGTTCCCAAACTATCTACTGTTTCGGTAGAGGTTCGGTAGAATCAACCAGGGTCAACCAGCCAATCAGAGCTTGGTTCCCACAGATTGAATTACTTTTTGGTTGGAAATAGCTATTCGAACGGAGCTTGTCGACCTGAAATAAATCGGTCCTTTGCAATTCCAAAATCGCGGGTGCGGGTTTAGCCTTATCGCCTCCGACGCACGAGTTTCCAGCCTGCTCAGCAAATTTGAATGTACCGGGGACGGCGAATAGTTAATCCGCAAGAACTCCCAGTTGGTCTCTGTCATCCCACTTCTCACTCAGCCTTGGCTTCCGCTTCTGCATGTGTCATGCAACTGTACGTACCAAACTCAGCACCGTAGCACAGTGCCGGACTACGGGATGAGTGCTCCGGCGGCACAGTGCCAATCTCTCGACCCACCAATCTGCAGCGTGTCGCAGGCCAGGTTTCTTGTTGGTTGCGCTAAAAATATTGGAAAACCCCACTAATACGAGCCACCCCGGCCCACCCTTCCCACCTTCCCCCCCTGTAGCGTTGCGTGCTTGTGCCTGGGCGTGGTGTTTCGAAGAAGGAAAAGGAGATCGTCACTGTGCTAGCGGGGGGTACGAATCTCGAGGTACTTTACTCGCGTCCAATGTCCTCCCTTGGCCCACCATAAATGTTCAATGCTCACAGCGATCATCAACGTATGCCACATTTATCTATCTCCATTCCCTGATAACGGGCAATTTATCTCTCCTCTTCATCCGATGCGACTATAGACGCTGCAAGAAATAAGGCGATAAGACTGCGTACTATCGCCGTTCACTCGTTCTCTTTGCAGTTCTGCGATTCTTCCCCCAACTTCTTGCCTTCCGTACTATCACGCATTCGTTTCGCCAATTCTCTCTCTTCTTGTCTCAGGCCAATTGGCACCATGCAGCTATAACGAGACCGGCGACATTCCCCATCACTTAACCACCCACCCCCCGACAAAGACATTCCTCCCTCCCCGCTCGCTTGGCTAGTAATTGGAAAAGACGACAAGATGCCTCATTCGACTCTCGACGAAGACCGACAAGTGCCCCTTGGCCGCGTCAAGCAGCCATACAACGATGCAGCCCCTGTCCAAAACGGACTTGAAAAGTTCCCAGATATGGATGCCAGCGATAACTCTACCTTTGAGCCGCTTAACTCGAAGTGGAATCCGCGTCGCGACCCTACGTTTGCCAACGCACCGATGCTCCGCGGCTCTACTCCATCTCATCAAAGGACGAACGGCCACTCTCGTCAAAAGAGCTTGAGCGAGGCCATCCGGACTATTAGAACACGCGGCGGCAGTGTCAGCCAGAATGTCCACGAGATCACAGATGCGTTGAAAGCGCCGGTATCCCCCAAGCTCATTGTATGCGCTTCCCCAAAACAAACAACCGAATGGGCCCTGAGAGACTGCAGAGTGTAGACGCTAACTCCGATCGCGCGATAGTTCTTATGTATCCTCTGGTATACCTCGTCTGTCCTCACAAATACCTCCTCCAAGTCTATTCTCATGAGCTTCGACAAGCCCGCGACCCTAACCATCGTACAATTCGCCTTTGTCTCCTCATATTGCATGTTGTCCTCCGCCCTAGCGTCAACCTTTCCCAAGATAAGAACAGCGATCCCTGCGCTCAAGTATCCCATTCGCCCACCCTCGAGAGATGTTATTAAGACGACCTTGCCTTTGGCGCTCTTCCAGATTGGAGGCCATCTGTTAAGCTCGAACGCGACGTCAAAGATCCCCGTGTCCCTGGTCCATACCATTAAGGGCTTGTCGCCGCTCTTTACGGTCCTTGCCTACCGATTCATCTTCGACATTCGCTACCCGGTTGCCACCTATGTTTCTCTCGTCCCTCTGACTCTAGGTGTTATGCTTGCCTGCTCCGGAAACCGCACGTTCGGCGGCCAGCTCGTCGGCGTTCTCTACGCCCTCCTCGCCGCCCTCATTTTCGTTACCCAGAACATCTTCTCCAAGCGGCTGTTCAACGAAGCAGCCAAGGCTGAGGCCCAAGGGCTCGGTGTCAAGTCCCGCAAACTCGACAAGCTCAATCTCCTTTGCTACTCTTCGGGTCTCGCGTTTATTCTTACGTCACCCATCTGGTTCTGGACTGATGGGATTGTTCTCATCAAAGATTTCCTCCACGACGGCTCGATCGACTTGACTGAGAAGCCCCACAGTTTTGACCATGGCCGTTTATTCCTCGAATTCATCTTCAATGGAACGTTCCACTTTGGCCAGAACATCATTGCCTTCACCCTACTCTCCATGGTCTCCCCTGTGACCTACTCGGTTGCTAGCCTGCTCAAGCGCGTGTTTGTCATCACCGTAACTCTCCTATGGTTCCGAAATCCCACCACATGGATTCAAGGACTCGGTATTGCGCTTACCTTCCTCGGGCTCTACATGTATGACCGCTCGAGCGCTAGCAACAAGGCTGACCGCAAGGCACGAATGATGGCCGATTCTCCTAAGAACGGGCCTATACTGCCTTTGACTGATCGGAAGACTATGTCACCAATCAACGGCGGTCTGCGAGCCCCTTTCTACGGCAATGGCCATACTAACGGGAATCACCTCTACACAAATGGACATTCTAATGGTGACACCTCCAAGAAGTCCGACGATGGGCGAGGTTCTCGACCTAGGGGTCTGAGTAACACGCCGCTTCCTCCGAGGACGAAACAGGAAGATACGTGGCTGGCTGCTGACAGGGCTATTGGCGTTCAATGATTTGATTTCATTGCCGTTGTCATCTTCTATCATATTTTCTTTTCTTCTTCGTACACTTTTTTTGTTTCCCTCTTTTCGTTACGCGCAGAGATTTCTCTGATGTTCGGTTATCTGGGAATCGGGCTATAGGTCCATCTCTCTTTTCTTTTCGCTATCATTACTTTTTCTGCTTCTTTCACTCCTCTTTCCGCCTCTCCCCGGGCCGCTAGCCCCCTTTCAGCCGTGCCGTGCAGCGAGACCTGAGCTTGAGCACGCAGGAACCGATGGTTCAAAGCCACTTCCCACCCAATCCCCCGGAACCGTCCCAAGGGAGCTGGACACATCGGGCAACGGGGCCGGAGCCGGGACGGCGAGAAAAAGAAAGGAGAGAAGGAAAAAGCAAATGAAACCACACTAAAACTAAAGACAAAAGAGGGATTACATTGTATAGATATAGAGACGGTTATCATTATCATCATCAATCATGGCGGTTGGAACTCGGCGTTATAAAATCTTTTCTATCACATTTTTTTTTTTTTTTTTCGTTTCCTTTCTTCTTTATTCTGTTTTTGACAGAGGAATCGGCTGTTTTATACTCTTTGAATCTTGGGATTCCGAGTTTGCTTTGTTCGTCATTGTCGGAGGACCTCCGGAACCAGAGCTCTTGCGTTTTCATGTTTGGTTTGGTGGAATAGTTGTACGCGTTTGAAGTCAACGAACGAATATTTTGGGATTTGCTTTCTTTTCTTCAGCTGGGAAGATTGATGAGTGCTTTTTTTTTTTTCGAAATGGTGTTCATCAAGGCATTTATCATGTATGACTTGGCTAGGAAAAGCCAAGAGCAAGCTTCAAGCTTTCTTCTCAGCTCTGTGAATAGATGCTGGAATTCTTCGGGCTGATTGTGACCTGAAATAGAAGTGCTTTTTTTTGCCCCGTTGCTTCGGGTGTCGCTTGCTATCGTATATGTTTCCTTCGTGATGTTTGTGGTGTACGATGAATATCTCGCTGGCATCTAGGTGAGATGGTAGGATGGGTACAAATGATTACGCAGGTTATTACGTGGCACAACAGATACTTCATCCCGTCCGTCGAATGCAGTATCCCCTTCTTCTATTCCACAAGCCAATCCTCCACCTCAATACCCACACTCCTCCCCAAGGCCCTCACAGCTTCCCACGAAACGTTAATCCTCCACCTCGCCCCCCTATCCATCATATCCCCCCCAATACCAACCCTAATAAGCAACCTCAAACTCGCCAAGGTTGCAAGTGCAACGCCCACGTCCGCGTCAATAGGCAATGCAGAAGTCCCATCGGCCCCAACAGCGCCGCCCTCGCTAGCGGCCCACTCGGAGCTTAGAGCCACGAAGATGGCCATCATGCGCTCTACGACGAACGAGTGCGCGCCGAGGAGCTTCCGCGCAATCTTGCGGTGTCTTCCGCGTCCTGCGCCGGCCGAGCGGGGGCCGGTGGATGCGACACCACCTCTACGCCGGCGTTTTCCGTAGTTGTGGGTCGAGAACACAGTTATGTCGTGGCGGGCCGGGTTATGAGATGCGAGGTAGGCGGCGAGGAGAAGCAGACGGGCGACGGTGGGTAGTAAGGTAGCTAGGTCCGTAGAAGAGTCTCTTTCTTTGGATAGCGGTAGAGAAGGAGGCGCCGACTTAGAGGCGATGCTAGATACGATGCTCGGATTGAGCAGGGATTCGTCCTGGAAATGAACGCGCGAGGCGATGAGGAGCTTGGAGAACTCCTTGGGTGAGTGCGTCCCCGCTTGTACCGGGGCGATGAATCGCGGCCACAGAGCGTGGCAGCTGTGTCGGAAGGAAGGGAGGGTGCGGGAGGCAGCTTTCGTGAGGGAGTCATGGACGGCTCCGCAGAGGCGGCGCCAGAGTTCAGTGGTTTCTTGGGCGGTTGCGTTGGGGATCGGGGGAGGGGTTTCGAGGGAGAGGATTTTTACGAATTCATGTTTTTTGTAGTTGGGGAACTCGAGGAAAGATCCGATGACCGTGCGGAGGTAGGCAGGTGGGGGGGAGGTGACGATGAAAACGCATGTTAGACATGGTATCTAGACCACGGGAGCGTTGTGTTAGCAGCGCACGTCATGCAAAGGAGAAGAAAAAAAAAAAAAAAAAAAAAAAAAAAAAAAAAAAGAAAAAAAAAAAAAAAAAAAAAAAAAAAAAAAGAAGACCTCACTATCTCGCTCAATCTGGCCAGAGCAGGCAGTAGTGTAGGCGGTGCCTCCCTCTGGTCATCAATGCCGTCGAACACGAGCGCGAAACGCCATCTCTCCTCTCGGGGAGGGTCCTTGAGCATCTTCGACAGCTCAATGACGAGCTGCGAAAGATTTTCGCATCTCTTCGGTGTATCTGGCCAGTTTATCGCCTGCGCCACGGCGTCTACGGTAGTTTCGAAGAGGTGCCGTCCCGTTATGCATCGTGCAGATTTCACGACGGCGTAGTGGATCGTCGAGTCGTCGTGGTTGGTGTTGGAGAGTTTCTCGAGGAGGGATTCCGCTATGGCCGACTTTCCGGTCGCTTTTGTTCCGTATAACACTAAGTTCTTACACGGGGCGCAATTGGGCTGCGGAGGAAACTCTATCAGCTTGTGTTCGAAGGGGAGTGCGAAGGGCGTCCAAGGGGAGAAAGAGCTCTACCATACACTTAAAAGTGTGGTGAGGGCGCGGATTTGTGGCTCTCGACACGGGAAGTGGTTGGTGAGGGTAGATATCACCAGCTCCTCCGGTAATTCGAATATTGACGCCATTTCCGGAGGGATGGCTCTAGGGAATATAGCTTGAAATGGGTGTATTCAGACCTTATCGAGACCCTCGTCTTCGCGAATCTGACGCGCCGTCAAGTGACGATGAAGCTGAGGTTGCCATTGATTAGGTAATCTCACCTCCCGCAACGGTCAGAAGGTGCGATGCAGTTGTCCTCTGTCCCGCGCTATCTTGCCTGGCTCTGAAAATCGCCGAAAATCAATTTACCGACTCCGCCCGCCGCATCGGTCTCCGTCTAAACCGCCTCGTCCTCGGGCCCAGAGAAGATCGATTGAGGGGCTGCGTCAGCGTCAGAATGCCCTCGTATTGCGTCGTATTCAGTGAGCACCGTGTTGTCCCAGACCTTTGCCCACGCATCTGATGCCATTTGATGCCGGACCCATGTTTAAGCTTCAATCATGTCCCAGGAGCTAAATCTTGGTGTCTTGGCCGACTCTAGGAGCCCTAAAATATAATCCATCAAATCCTGAAGTAACCCGAACTCGATTCATTGCCCCAACTGATACCCTCGATCCGTTCCTGATATCTTCCGCGTATACCTCCATTTTCAGCGTGTTCCCCTCACCGGTTTTCCTTTTTTTTTTCCCCCCATCTTCGCATTCGCATTCGCAAGTTATGCGATCTCCCATTTCTCCTGCATGAGCGGTGCCACCAACACAAACAAAAGAACCCCGCCATCGTCTAACCGAAACCGAAAACAATAACTACAAATATGGACCCGAACGACATGATCTCCCCCGACGAGTCGAACGATAACCCCCAGATACCCAAACCATACCATTCCAAGCGACCTCATCGCAAGTCCCGGACGGGATGCAGGACCTGCAAGGCACGCAAGGTCAAATGCGATGAAGGCCGCCCCTCCTGCCGCAACTGCACCCTCCGTCGAACCATCTGTGTATACACCAAAGCTCCTCCCACGCCGCCCACCTCGTCTCCTTCTCAAACTTCTCCTACTCCGTCCGTCGCCGCGGGGACATCGCGAAGTGAATCTCCCACCACATTACCGCACGACAATGGCGTTCTTCCCTTGGCGCTATCCGTGCCGCAGAGTCCGCAGTTCCGGCCAAACGCATTCGATAATGAAGACATGAAGCTACTCTGGTGGTACTCGACTTTTGCCTTCTCGAGCTTCTCGATCGGTTCGCCCGGGCAACCTAGTTCAGTGAGCAGAATCCTGCAGGTCAATATACCGCAACTGGCACTCCAGAACCGCTTCCTCATGGATATCGTCCTGAGCCTGTCGGCGTGCCACATGCAGACGACCAACCAGGATATATCCCCGTCGAGAGCTGCTGCGTACCGCGCGAGAGCCTTGGAAGGATATCGACGTGCGGTTACGGAAATGAAGCCAGAGTCACGTCCGGGAATACTCGCAGGCTCCCTTCTCTTGACGGCCGTTGCGTCCCAATCGTTTCGGGAAGAGGATACGAAAGAGCTATACATACTCGACTGGATAACAGTATGGAGAGGAATTGGCATCTTTCTTCAGATGTCAGCCGGGGATAAATCCTCTCACGGCGGGGTGAGAGACGTGTTCTTCCGCCCAGTTTTAGACCTGGCGGTGGCAGCCAATTATATACCCCACGAGTTGACGGAGTTGATAGCCTCCATTCCCGAAGACGACGACGAGTATCCTCTCATCGAATATCACGAGCTCACACTCAAATTCCTCGGTGCCCTTTACGCCGAGCTACTGAACGGCCTAACGCCCATAACGATACTCCTGATCACAACATGGGTCACATACCTCCCACAGCCCACAGTCATCGCCATGAGGGCAAAGAAACCACGCGCACTAATCCTCCTCGCGCACTACCTCGCCTTCGTCAAGCTCCTCCGTATCTGGTGGTTAGAGGGCATCACGGACCGTGAGATCCCAGGGATTGTAAGGGCCGTGGGGCCCGAGTGGGCGGATGCCGAGGCACTCCGTGTTCCGCGTCTAGCTACGAAATTGACGGACAAGCTCGAGCTCGCTAGGTTGCTACTAAACGATCCCGAATGGGAGTTTCCGTCGGTATCGATGGAGGCTGTCCATCGAGATGGTGAGATTTTTGGATATCCGTCGTTGATGAGCATGAAGTCGCTCCCGCTTCCGCAGAGGCCGCGGGTCGCGTTGCCGGAGAATGACTGTGCCGATGAGTTTGCGGACTGCCCACCCTTGTGATGGATAGGCGTCTTTTGGTCTGATGTTCCTATATCGAAAGGGAGGGAAACGCAAAAGAGGTCCGGCAAGATGCTTAGGAAGGGTTCTGGGAGTCGTAATCAACGATGACATGGAGTCCTCGAGTTTAATATTGTTTCTTTGTCCAGGCCAAAGTGCCTCGGGGGGGGAGGGGGAGTTCTTTGCGTCACGGGTGCCAAAATAGTATTGTCGAAGATGGAAGACCAGCCCCAAGGCTTTGCTTGTATGTAATATATATTGGATACTACACGAACGAATACCCAGCTTGATATTTCACACTTACAACCACCTTCTCTCCCTCAGCACACACTCCTCATCATCGGGCCTACTCATACTGTTTCTTACAACCCAAACCACTCCTCACTGGCCGTCAAGTTCGACGGCACTGAATGCCCCACACCAACCGCCCAAATCCCCTGCACGCCCTCCCCAAAATTCTGCGTCACATAGTTCGCCTGCGGATAATTCTGAATCTCCTCTACAGGCTTCTCGGGCAGCCCGAAGACGTTGGTCCACTGCTTGATGGTCTCTTGGTAGTTGTTAGAGCTGAGGGTGGTGTCGACGCTGCCGTGCCAGATCTGCATGCGCGGGCGAGGGCCGTCGTAGTCCGGGTACATGGCGCGGACGACGTCGCCCCACTGCTCGGCGGAGGCGTGGGATTGGCCGCCGGAGCAGGTGTTGTTCCATTGGGCGACGCCGCCGGAGGCGGAGACGAAGCAGCCGGCTGGGACGCCGGAGTAGAGGGATACGGCTTTGATGATGTCTGGGTAGGTTGCGGCGAGGACGTTGGACATCATAGCTGGAAGGTGGGTTGGTTGTTAGGACTGTCTGAGGAAGAAAAAAAAGAGAGAGGGAGAGTGAGAGAAAGAAAAGAAGGGCTCTCACCTCCAGAGCTACCACCCGTAACGAAAACACGATCCTTGTCGATCTTGTACGTCTCGATAGCATGCTTGATCATGTTGCCGATGGCAGTGGAATCACCCCCGCCGTCGCGCACGAGAGATTGCCGGCTCGACACGTCCCAGCATTCGGTGGAGCTGCTGGGCCAGACGGTGATGTAGCCCTTACGGTCCGAGCCCTGGTGCCAGGGAATTTTGGCATTTTGGAAGTAGTTCTGGGCGGAGGATTGGCAGGAGTGGATGGCGACGACGAGGGGAGGGTTCTCGACGACGTTGTCCGGGACGTAGACCCACCTGTTCGACAACAAGCTTAGGTTAGCAATTGATACTAATCCAGTTTCGTAGGTTAAGTAGAATAGAGAAGAAGGATAGCGAGGTGAAACGAATCGCCGAGAGAGAAAAGGGCCATTCATCACTTACATAGTAGCCCGAGACTGAGGAGCAGCAGGATAAGTGACCTGCTGCAACTGGGCGGCCATGGCCACGGAGGCCAGAAGACCAGCAACAATAGTATGGAACAGCATTTGAAGCGGCCAAGGGTACTCGAATCCTCACAATAGTATAAGTGACGAAGCTGTTAAGCCCAGGAACGTGTGTGTATATGAGCACAGGATGCCAAGACGAAGGGCTCAAGCTCGCCTACTTATACGCCAACCCAAATATCTTCCCAATATATAAACCCTTCGCCAGCCCAAACTCCTTGTTTCCTCCGTCTCTCTCCCCTTTCATGTCGCCTCATATAGCTTTTCCGCTAAAGGTAAGATTGTTCTTCCCAAGGCTCACCCCCGCATATATCAACCCGAGACTCGGAGAATTCATCTATTCACAATATATCCAGCCATTGCCCCCTTCGGCATTCTACCGCCGCATGGAGAAAGACGTCCAGTTCCTCTCCGAACCCTAATAAGTTTATTCCACCTCTCACCGTCGCTCCCGCTCCCGCTTTGATCGTTTATTTTCACCTTGAGCCCTTTTTTACTCGTTTTCAGTCTCCCTTGCTCATAGGCTTAGAGGAGGGTTTTCTTCGGCAGCCCTATTGAACCAGGTTCGAGGAGAACTTTCACCCATCGGTAGGGCTAAGACTAATTTGCAGCCATTGAGGGTAATAGCAGTGACCAAGATGTGAACAGGAAGAAAATAGGAACAGACGGCCAAAAGGGTGTAAAACGTACAGGTTCCCGGCTAAGTCAATTACTCGTCAACAAAGTAATCAACGAGAGGGGAACACATCATATCGGGATCTTCTCTGCGTATATATGCGATCCAGTGAGGTGTTTAGGCGAGCTGGAAATTGGAATCACTAGATCGCCGGGACACTGCCGTTATATCCGAATAGGACATCGACGGGAAACTGCGAATGTGTATACGAGAATCCTCATTTCGAATAACAATGACCGGTGTTCAACCGGGCTACGATAGCGGAATTGGCGTAATGAGATGTTGTGTGCAGACTTGGCTCTCAAAGATGCCAAATCCCATCCATCAACAGTCGAAGGCTGGTCACCGATACTCACGGATAGAGAGTTCGGATGAGAGATCATAATCGAATAAGGGTCGACCTGGGAAAATCCCTAGACTTGTTATTTACTTTGACGCCATCTTTCACAACCCCAGGGGAAGAGGTATATAAAATGAAATGGGAGCATCACTCTCCACTCAGTTGAGCGACGTCATCACTTCGGTCACCAACTTACCGGAGAACTTGGCTACTACGAATCAGTCATGGAGAAGAAAAAAATTTACAGAGGAAATACGATGGAACAATTGTAGAGCAAATATTCATTGATATCTTTGGTACACAGCTCTCACAAATGAAAGGCTTGATTGAGCTTAGAACCCACACCCGGGAACCTCGGTCTTTAAATACTTCTATACACAGGTCCTTCGTAAAAAACAAACCCGACGTCCGTCCCCAGATGCGTCTTCCTTTTTCACCTATTTACCATCTCCCCGCACCCTTTAGTTCTTCTCCAGCTCCGCAAGAATCTTCGCGGCCTTCTCCTTGACGGACGCGAAGTCGCCAACCATGTAGAAGGCGTTCTCGGGAAGGGCGTCACCCTCACCGTTAAGGATGGCTTTGAAGGACGCGATGGTGTCCTTAAGGTCGACGAGCTTACCCTCGATACCAGTGAAGACCTCGGCGACAGTGAAGGGCTGGCTAAGGAAACGCTGGATCTTACGGGCACGCTCGACGGTGAGCTTGTCGGCTTCGGAAAGTTCGTCCATACCAAGAATGGCAATGATATCCTGGAGAGACTTGTACTCCTGGAGAATCTGCTGGACACGGGTGGCAATCTCGTAGTGCTCGTCACCGACGATACGGGGGTCGAGCATACGGGACTTGGAATCAAGAGGGTCGACGGCGGGGTAGATACCCAACTCGGAGATACCACGAGACAACACAGTGGTGGCGTCCAAGTGAGCGAAGGTAGTGGCGGGGGCGGGATCAGTCAAGTCGTCAGCGGGCACGTACACGGCCTGGACGGAGGTAATCGAACCCTTCTTGGTGGTGGTAATACGTTCCTGCATGGCACCCATGTCTACGGCGAGAGTGGGCTGGTAACCGACGGCAGAGGGAATACGACCGAGAAGGGCAGACACCTCGGAACCGGCCTGAGTGAATCGGAAAATGTTGTCAATGAAGAGAAGCACTATTGTCATTGTTGTTAGCATCGATACGCGTCAAACATCGGACATCCGCGGCTTCAAGTCGACGGCAGAAATTGCCGCAAACTTTGACCCCGGCCCTACAAACGGTGTCTCTACCAACGGAGGCGTGGATTTGTAGGGGGTTGGTGGCAAAGAAGATAATAAAAACGATATAACTTACCATCCTGACCCTCCTCATCACGGAAGTACTCGGCAACGGTAAGACCAGTAAGAGCGACACGGGCACGGGCACCAGGGGGCTCGTTCATCTGACCGAAGACAAGCGCGACCTTGGACTCGCCATCAAGCTGAATGACGGAGGTTTCCTGCATTTCGTGGTACAGATCGTTACCCTCACGGGTACGCTCACCGACACCAGTGAAGACAGAGTAACCACCGTGGGCCTTGGCAATGTTGTTGATAAGCTCCTGAATGAACACAGTCTTACCGACACCAGCACCACCGAAGAGACCAATCTTTCCACCACGAGCGTAGGGGGCGAGGAGATCGACGACCTTGATACCAGTGACGAGAATCTCGGCGGTGGTGGACTGGTCGGTGAACTCGGGAGCCTCGGCGTGAATGGGACGCCTCTTCTCAGACTTGATGGGGCCACGCTCGTCAATCGGGTCACCGGTGACGTTCATGATACGGCCAAGAGTGGCAGGGCCGACGGGAATGGTGATGGGAGCACCAGTGTCGAGAGCGCTGGCGCCTCGGACAAGACCCTCGGTACCTGAGACGGATCAGTTTATGTCGCGCGAATTTTTTTTCCCGATTCGCGATAGCGTATCCGAGATCCATCGTCATCTTTGAGATGAAAAAAATTAGGCTGAGGGATTAGAAGAACTTACCGTCCATGGCAATGCAGCGGACAACATTCTCGCCAAGATGTTGCTGTGGGAAAATTGTTAGTTGAATGAGTCCATTGAGCGAATTGGTAGTCGTGGCTGGTTGGCACGTACCGACACCTCAAGAACTAGCTTCTGGCCATTGTTGTCGGTCTCGAGGGCATTAAGAATGGGGGGGAGCTTGGCAGTGTCGAACTTGACTGTTCACAATCAATTAGATTCGCTTCTTTGATGGTTATTCAATTGAATTGGATGTTCTGAGACGAACCATCGACGACGGCACCGATGACCTGAAAGATTTGTTGTTGTCAGCAAATTTGTCCCGAGAGCCCGAGGTCGGGGTAACGGCAAAGGGAGCAACCAAAAAATGATGAGAAAAAGAGTCAGGAAAAAAGACGACGCGAAACTCACCTGGTGAATCTTGCCATTGCCAACGCTGGCAGTGCTGGCCCACCTGTTGGTAACAGGATATCGAAGATGTGATGGCCTGAGGGCGCTGCGAGGAGTGAGGGCAGGCCGAGCTGCGCGGGCAAAGGAGGAAAGGCCGCTGCAAAGACGACGGGAAAATTGCGAGTCAGCCTCAATTGGGTGCAATCGACACGTAGAAGCATCGAGAAATGCATCTAGATGTTGCTACTTACCTCTTGAACATCTTGACAGATGACCGAGAGCGATTGCGGATGGGAGCGGAGAGGTGAAGGTTTGATGTTGACGGAGGACTTGAGGGATTGAGCAGATTCTTTGCTTCAGATTTCACGGGCGCTTCAAGTTAGGAAGCTTTCCGACTTCATCACGTGATTGAATAGCCGAGATTTGCTAGCCGTTGCCTGTTTGGGTGGAAAGTTTTTTGCCGACTATTCGCCGGTCTCCGGGACATCCTTGGCTGTTGAGATACAGTGCTAATGCGAGGGATATACATACTGTTTTTATTTCAAAAGGGGGATCGACCAAAACCTGAGCCGAGCTTCAGTGAGACTCCATGGCTCTCTTGTTCAAACATAACGTTCAGCGACTTGTACTCCGTACTGAGATTAGCTTGTGCTCTCACACGGAGCTTGCGATGCGCTGTAACATAATTTTATTCCACTTGATTTTCAACCTTGATTTCCCTATGCTCTTGAACTTCCATGTATAATAAATAATAGCTTCACCTGAGCTAGCTACGTATATGAGCTTTTCTTCTTCTTTTTTGTCTTCCCGCTTCTTGAAAATTCCCTGCCTTCCGCCCCCTTTTAAACCCGGATCAGTGGAGCCAACCGAGGACTCGAGCCATGCCAAATCTTACTCAAGAGCCAGAACCTGAAGTGAAGGAAAAGTTAGCTCTCGTTTCTCAGGAAACCGTACGAAGCTCGGAAAGAAAGGAAAAACCGAATCTACTTACCAAAGCGGTCCGGCAAGGAACGTAGACGTGAGTCCAGTTCTTCCGGCCGTTCCACTCCATTGCCGTCGTGTGGTATCTAGTATTGCTGTCGATACGGTCATGTCCACCAACCTCCTTAGAATCGGTGTTGAGGACACATTTATACATGCCAGGCACGTCAACACCGACCCGGTAATCTGCGTAACTCTGGCTGGGGTGGAAGTTGAAGATGAAGAGGGCTCCGCCCCTCTCGAAGACAATGACCTTGTCGCCCTCGTGCTTGAGCGAGATGTACGCCTGAGGAGCATGTAGCCATCCATACTTGTCCTCCGTCAAGTTCATCAAACGATCAAACTGATTTAAGTACTGGTAGCGGAGTAGATGGTCCTCGGTGAGGTTGAGCTGCCGCCTGGCGTACCAGAATGAATTCTGGTTCCCCTCACGAGGGAAATCAAGCCACTCGGGATGACCAAACTCGTTCCCCTCAAAGTTCAAGTAGCCTTCGCCGCCAAGACCGTGCGTGAGAAGCCGGATCATCTTGTGAAGAGCCATTCCGCGGTCGATGACCGGGGTGAGTGGAGTCAAATTAGACATGTTCGTATATAATTCGGCATCGCAAAGGTGCATCATTATAGTCTTGTCCCCCACCAAGCTAGAATCAAAGTCAGTAACAACACTTCCGCCCAGACGGAAAGGCCTCAAATATGGGGAACTGTAAATCTCGATGACTTACGCTTGATCGTGGCTTTCGCAGTAGGCAATCGTCTTCTCTCCGTGACGTCGGTTCGTTAGTGTCCAGCAAATATTGGCCATGTCCCAGTCCTCATCTTTCTTTTCCTTGAGGATCTTGATCCACATATCCGGAATAGCCATGGCCAGTCTGTAATCGAACCCGACACCTCCGAGTTTGAGAGGTAGGCATAACGCAGGCATGCCGGATACGTCCTCGGCGACAGTAATGACTTCAGGGTATAGCTGGTGAAGCATCTCATTCGCCAACATCAAATACACAACACCTTCTTCGTCGACCTCTGCACCAAAGTATTCATGATATCCTCCGGAAAATCCACTGTAAAAAGGAGGGAAAGAAGTGAGCCGTGAGTTCTGATTCCGCTGAAAGGCACCTCAGAGACTTACGTTCCAATGCCGTGATGAATATAAAGCATGCTTGTTACACCATCAAAGCGGAAACCATCAAATTGGTACTCGTCCATCCAGAAGCGCAGGTTGCTCAGCAGGAAACGAAGTACTTCGTGGTGTCCGTAATTGAAAAGCCTGCTGTCCCACAAGTCATGACGGCCCTTTCCGCCCTCGTGGAAGTATTGATGATCAGATCCATCAAAGTGATTCAAGCCGTCAAGAACATTCTTGGAAGCGTGGCTGTGGACTATATCGAGGAGGACCACAAGCCCCAGGCTATGGGCTGTATCTACAAGCTCTTTAAGGTCCTCGGGAGGACCGTATCGACTGCTCGCCGCGAAAAAGTTGTTCACTTGGTAGCCGAAACTCGCGTAGTAAGCATGCTCCATGATTGCCATGAGTTGAATGGCATTGTATCCGAGATTTTTAATTCGCGGAAGCATGTTCTTGGTGAACTCCTTGTAAGTGGCTACGCGAAGCTCGGGTGACGAGATGCCGACGTGTGCTTCGTAGATCCGGAGACTCTCAGGCTGCTTCGGCCTCGTGTGCTTGAACTTATATCGCTCTGACTCGGGGGGATTCCAGAATCGAGCATCGTATGCAGGAGATACCGCCAATTCTTGAGTGACGTACTTGATCCAGGCCGGTAGTCGATCCGCGCGTTCGCCGTTGGGAAGGGTAAGAGAGATCTTGATATCATCACGTTAATTCAGTCCGAATGGATAAGAAAAGGACCCATCGCGGGCCTGTGAGCAATAGCAGTAACAAGAAATAAGATTCTTACTTTAATCTTGGAGTTATGGGGGATAGCAACCTTGCCATCCTTTGCTGGGACTGTGATCTCGAAAACACCAAACTCGTTCTTTTTCATGGGGTGAGTCCCCCGTTCCCAATTGTCTAGATATGTCGTTAATTCATGCCCATAGCCTTGCTGTGGCCAGGCCTTTATCACTGTAAGGTGTTGGTCGGGATCTTACTGAAATCGCCAATGAGGAAGGCTTCGGTCGCATTCGGCGCCCACTCCCGATAAACGACATTATTATTCTTGTCAACGTTGAGACCGAACTTCTCTGAGCCCTAGATTATTTTGAACAAGTGTTAGGGAGAACCCCCCCCCTCGACCTTCATTTTTTACGTTGAGATTAATCGCAATTGAACGAACCTTGGAGAATACGTCAAGACCACCCTCGGTCTTGTTTAAGCGGTCGATCCATTCGTGGGCTTTGGCATAGCGACGTTGCAATACTTGCTCAAATGGCGACAGCCAGGGGTCGAGCTTCACGACGCCTAGGATTGAAAGTTAGGGGATGGGCTGCAAGTTGCGACGGCTCCGTGATGCAAAAACCCGGCAATTAAGAATGCTCAGAAACCTACCGACGCTATCTTTCGGCGCACCGTTGGCAGGCTTCTCAACGAGGGAAGTCATGCTTGTTATCTTTTGGACTACTCCAAGGCGAACGATTGGGATGTAGAAGGCGTAAACGACGGAGATGGTGAGGGGTTCGTTCTGGTTTTTGGACTTCCGTGAGGAGGGATCAATCGATATCAGATCATGGGAAAAATGGGTCGGGGGTCCCGTATTAGTATCGCTTGCAGCAAGACGCAGAGCTGAGAGGAAGCTGGAGAAACAAGCTCCAAGCTCCCCTGACGATGAGACTGGGAGCTTCAGAGGCGGGGTGATAAGGGGCAGAACCACAAGACAAGTCTCAAATGGGACCAATTGAAGTCGAGAAAGTGGCGGATTGCCTCGTGCGACGGCTAAGACTTGGGTCAGGATTCTCGAAGACAAACAATGAACAATGAACAATGAAGGAGCTTGAGATGTTGAGAGGCAGAAGGAAGCAGTTGCTTTTTCAATCTGCAGATAAATGACGTCTACATGCGCGGGGCAACAAAACGTGCAACATGTGGTGGGCTTGACCAGGATATCGCAAGGGTCAGACAGGACAGGACAGGACAGTGATATCAACGTCAACAGGGGATATGCGATTGAGAGATCAATTATTCGACCCCGAATTAGTTTAAAATAAGAGAAAATGAAAAGAGAAATCGATTTGGCCGAGATAGTAGGTAGTACACTAAGAATCCGGACCGACATTGGCGTGCGTGTTTCTCGAAGTAAGTCTCGTCCCTCTCTGGTTGGCAGTCTAGATACATCATGTTTCCGAGAATTGTGCCACATGGGTGGTTCAAGCTCGTATCATTGATCCAGAGCTTTGTATGCCGGAAATCTCTGCATCAACAAATCAATCCTCAACAGCTTTGCCCACCAGGTTGTGCCACACATCTCACATATTCGCCACCACGCCTGTAATATCCAAACGGGCCGGGTACATAACATAATAGTACGACCTTGGGTGCATGGAATTGAATTAAGCTACAAAGTAGATCGATAGGCCTACTTCGTACCTCGCACACTCGAGAGCTATAAGCGCTCAAGGACCAAATCGGACAAGCTTTATCAGTTGCAGAAATAGTATGAAGTACTTCGCAGATCAAGGGCGAATCAAGGGGGTGGGGCAAGAAGAGCGCAATAATAGTTTAGATTTATGTTTGACAAGCTAACAATGAGCCAATTGGTATGGATACCAAGTCAGACCTCAAGGCACTGGAACTCGTGTGCAGTGTAGAATGGATCTCCTTCATAGATATGAATGCTTCGCCTGGCATTACGAAGTATGATTGCCGAGTATAAGTAAAACAGGACCAAAAAGCAGACAATCTCTTTGAGGCTTGCTCGAAAAGGCCTAGGTTTCGCCTATGATCCAAGAGCGTTGAATGAAGCCTGCTGTTAAAGAAATCGCCGATATCAAGCTTCGGGCAAGTCCAGAGGGCGGTACCGGAAAGCGCTTGACGGGGGATTGATCCATTGATCAATGATCAGATTTGTTGGGAGACTGGACGGCAGGGTATTCTCGGCTGCAGCGTTGACCGGATTCGGCTTTATCAGCGACTGATACCGAGTTCGTGCTTTCCAATTGTCGTTGTAGCCTGTCTACAGCCTGGCCTTAAAAACTGTTGCATGAACTATTCAAGTTGCCTTGGCCGGACTCTCTTTCCTGCTAGAAGATGCGCGGCGCTGTACGAAGTACTTCATACTGAGGTCTCAAAACACTGTCCTTCTCGGAGTCTTCCTGTCGTGTAGCTGCAGTAAGAATGAGTCATTCCCAGCACGATGTCGGAGTCGATCAACCTTGCCAAAGAACATTGGAGGCAACTGAGGGCTGTCATCTGCAGCTCGCCGACCGCCATGTTGGAGCGCAGACTTGGTTAACATGGTCAATTGATATTTCTCTGATCTGGGAATATCCGCCAAGGTAACAACAAGAGTGCTTCATCTGTGCATTTGATTGATAGGCTGACATGTACTCAATAATCGGCGTTGCATCATCCACTGTACTCTGCAGACAATGGAATTAATCTTTGGAAGCGCTTCGTCAACCGACCATCAATTGATGGATGTACCAATCAGTGTCAATCACAACAAGAAGGCAGACTCCAGCCACGCAGATCAGATGGCGCAAATGGAAGGTCCAATTGTCAACTCCACTCCCTGCAGTTCCGTTATCGCACCATTAGGAGCCTGACGCATCCACCACCAAGTTCTATGACACAGTGAAACGGGTTTAGCTGCAAACGCTATCTGGGGAAAGCATCATCTGAACCAGCAACTTGCTCATCCCACTACCGACACCTTGATGCCATCACACACCCCGCATCGCCACTTCTGCTCGGCTCGTCTCGTCTTGCAGTGAGGTGGTTTCGTTGATCTCGCTTTTTTTGGAATCTACCACATTCTTGGGGGATTCCAATGGACTCTCACCAGACTCGCCAATGAAATAATAAGCATCACAGCTTCCTTTTGCTTCATCGCTCCCCGCTCCACTCGCCACCGAAATGGCCCCGCTCACCAGACCGCTCGCCGCTTCTTCTCCCACCCTCTTCAAGACTCGTCCTCGAAATCGCTGCCTCTCCTTCTCCGCATGCCAGGCATCTCATCGTCGCAGCCAGGACTTCACGTCTGGCTTTACCTCTAGCTATGACCCAACCCAAGAGTCCGGCCGCGGGCCCATGTTCAACAAGAAGGTCAACTGCGGCGTGCCCGAGTTTTACCCGCGTGACCTCAAGAAGCGAGTCGACGACTTCGTAGTCGGCCAGCACCGCGCGAAGAAGACTATATGCTCGACTATATTCAACCACTACCAGGCTGTGAAACGCCGCGAGTGCCAAGAAATTGCCGATAGGAACTACCGCGAGAAGCTCCACAGGCAACGCGCGAAGGAGCAATCCGAGGAGTCGACGTATGATGCGATTTACCAAACATATCGCCATGAGTTCAATGATCCCCAGTCTGCCACGCAGTCACCACGCCAAAGCGTGGATAACAGCGTTTTGGAAAATCTCTTCGGCAACGAGGCCTTAGACACCAACATGCCGGAGCATGTCAAGATAGACAAGAGCAACCTCTTACTCCTGGGGCCGACTGGTGTCGGCAAGACGTATATATTAGAGTTAGTAGTGTCTTTCGGATCTTAGTTTCCTTCATCACTCGTCGTTTCTAACATGCGGAACCCCCTTAGGACATTGAGCAAGATGCTAAACGTACCGTTTACAATATCCGACTGCAATTCGTTTACTCAAGCTGGATACGTCGGACAAGACGTAGAGACTTGCATAGAGAGGTTGCTGATAGAGGCAAACTACGATGTTGACGTTACCCAACGAGGAATTGTCGTCTTGGACGAATTTGATAAGATTGCGAGGAAGGATATAGCGAATGGAAGAGATGTCGGTGGTGAAGGTGTCCAGCAGGCCCTCTTAAAGCTGGTCGAGGGTACTAAGGTCACCATCACTATTAAAGACGGCAAATTAACTCGCGCGACTCCTCCGCCCACCGCAAATTATAACAGCGCTGGTGCTGCAACACCCGGCCAGACGTCCCAGCCGCCTCATCCCCCGGCTGGTGGCCGATCGGAGCAGTTCATCATTGATACTAGTAACATTCTTTTTGTCTTCTGCGGAGCATTTGTTGGCCTCGACAAGATTATTCTCCGCAGAGTGTCCAAGCCCTCCATGGGCTTCGGCGCCCAACTGACCCCCCGGTACTCTCTATCGACGAGCCAGAACGTCCTGCCGCACAAGGCATACTCACACCTCCCCCACCAGAGCACGCCCGACGGCGTCCCATCCACCTTCACTCCCCTCGACCTAACCTCCCCCGCTGACCTCCAGGCCATGGGCTTCATCCCCGAGCTCATCGGCCGCCTCCACAACATCTGCGCCCTCAGCCCCCTCTCCCTCGACGATCTCTACCGAATCCTCACCGAACCGCGCAACAGCCTCGTCGCGCAATACACGGCCCTCTTCGAGACCTACCCCTCCAAGCTCTTCTTCACGCGCAAGGCCCTCTACGCCATCGCCGAGCGAGCCGCCAAGTCCGAGACCGGCGCTCGCGGCCTTAAGATGGAGATGGAGAGGGTTCTTGCCGAGCCCATCTTCGATGCCCCCATGCCTTACGTCCTCATCACCGAGGCGTGCGTGAGGGGAGATGGGAAGGCGGAGTATTGGGGTAAGGATGGGAAGTTTGAGGTTGAGAGGCGCATTCGGGAGGAGGATCTGGATGAAGGTTCTGAGGCGGGGGGGCATGTTTCTACGTTTGAGCAGTTTAGGGAAGCTGGGGAGAGTGGTGCTTGAATGGAAATTGTGTGGATATGAATATCATTCTTGTTCTGGGGGGGGGGGAGAGAATGCTAGAAGTTACATGATTATGTAGTATATGAATTGATGCCTGGTTTTGTTCTGTCCTGTGGTAATTCCGCTTTATGGGATTTTCTGGGTGAACCGTCTGAAGATGTACTTTCCATGTCAATTGGTCGACAGCTCATGAGAGCCCAATGACTTCGACGTGTCGTATCGTCCATTGGTTGTTGGCTAGGTTTGGCGTAGTACCGCGTGGGATATATTGTCGTGGGCTAATACAGCGAAGCACGTAGGTTACATTCCACATGAGTCAAGTGGGAACATTAGGACCGCTGCTACATCGACAATTGATGAAAAGGATAGTATCTTGGGTTGGTTTTTTTTACAAAATGGCAGTCCGGAGGTACCACCGAGCCCGCCAAATGCTCCTCTTATTCTATCGACAAAGGAAAAAGAAAAGCAGGAAACTAATACGCTTGATAGGTTTGTTGGTTGTTGGAGACCGGTTTTGTCACAAGTTTAAGCACCCTTGGGAGGGGACTGGATCATGCCCTTGCCCTTGTAGCCCTCAGAGGTGAAGCCGGTGATGGGGTCGGATTTTTGCTCCTAAAATTGGGGGGTTCATCACGTTAGCATATCGCGAAAATTTGGTAGAAGAGTTGGGACCGATATGTGGAACAGGAAGGCTCGGAGATTAACAGATGATCGGAGGCGTACCTTGAGGAGCTCGTTGGAGGCTTCTTGCCACTCCTTGGTCATAGACTCCGGAGGCTGGCCACCGAAGGCACGGATGGCGACGAAGATGGCGAGGCAGCCGGCGAGGATGAGGGTGGTGTGGAAGAAGAGGTTCTTGCCCTCACCGGGAGGGTCGAGGGCACGGGGGCCGTGGGGACCGAAAGCAATCCAGTAGGCTATACAGGTAGTCAAGTCAGTAAACGTCCTAACGACATGTCGTGATGCGGAGAGCAGAATTGATCCCATGTGGAATCACGCGGTTTCGAGACGAGGTCGGTGGTGACCGATGACAGCGAGTCAATTGAGGCCCCAATTCGTGTTTAACGGCCTCAATTGATGTTGACATGCTAGATTACCGAACCCAATGGCCCCTTGAACCGAATCGTGATGTTTTTCAGGGTCGTGTGTAGTCGTGGTGTGATGCGAGTTGATGGAATCCGAAATTTTGGAAAAACAGAGAAAGGGAAAAAAGACGCACCAGCCTTCTTCTCCTGGACCGACAGCTCCTTCCAAGAACCCTTCATCCTATCCCTCAAGGCCATCCAGAGCTCGGCCTGCTCCTGGAGAGGCATCGACTCCCACCTCTTCTCGATGTTGTTGAGCTGGGGGTTGGAGAGCGCACGGGTGGCGTTACCCCGAGTCGCGGCAGGGACCGAGGCGAACTGGCTGCGAACCAGCGCCTGGCGAACGACTTTCGTGGCAGAGTGTGTTCGAAGCATCGTGACAGCAAGGATTTGTCTAGTTCGGCTCGTTTCCTGTTCGACGAAAGAAAAAAGAAAGGAAGGGGAGAGCGGAGATTTTTTGGGGAGGGAGGGAGAGGAGTCCAATTGAGATGTAGCTGAGAATAGGTCGTCTCGGCTGTCTAGGTTAACGACGAGGTTTTTTCCGTGGAGCAGCTCCAAGTCATCGTATGATTTGTTTGTGTTCTGATTGGCGTCCTTCTGGCTGCCGAAAACTCCTCGGAGATGACCTAATGGTGTTCGGGGACCTCACGTGATTTGACTTGGTCCCGTCGCATTCCGGGTGCGCGTCCCAATTCAGGGCCGGATCTGCAGGCAAGTCGCTGGATCTGGAAGCCTCAGACCACCACCAACCTGCACGAACTGTGACACCTACTCCGTACAGAACGGTCTCGCTGCAAGCAGCATGATAGAGTATGGGAAGTGGATGCATCCATCCAATGATTCCAGCTTTATTTGCAGATTATGATTATACTACATTATACTACAAAAGACTTGTGACTTTCAATAGTGGAAGGATCCTCTTGTCTGATAGTGATAGTCGAGGACTCCTCTCAAGGGCACGCGATGCGATGAGATTAGTTTACTTATCGTTATTCATTAACTTTAGTTACTTCGCATGTAAAGTACAGTGAGGGTTCTAGTGATTTGATATATGATGCTCGGCACTTAGTGACGAATTGACCAAACAGATGAATCCTAGCCTCGCTCGGCATGCAATGGGCGTATCGCTGGGGTTATGCTAAAGGGTGGCTGACACCTGAGCTTGGAACACAACTATTTCGAGTCCTTCGAGGGTTCTTCTTTTGGTTGGGATTGTTCTTTCTTAAGGGTTTCCTCCTTCCGCCGAGCCGCGTTTTCAACCAAGAGCGGCTTGAAAGTGTAGTTGCCTATGTTGTGTCAGCAGACTCAAGTCGAGTACATAATTACAATGGGTCCCCGATTCTAACTGATTGCTACGCCTGCTGCGACTGTAAGAAGCAGTGGTATGTATCGCCCGATTTCCATGGTTTAACGAGGAATTTCAGATAAGCTCGGATAACGGCCAATGGTGTGAAAAGTTGATTGAAGAGTTCCAGCTCAGGCGGTCGGAAAATATTGGGTAGGAGTTTGCCGGAGATTTTAACAAACTATACTGAGTCCATAAAATGAGAGCGCTTCGTTGATTTTGATATTTCTGGTGTCTCAGAGATTGAGCTTTTCGAAGGTGGTACGTGAGTACGAAGTACTTCAAGGCTTCGGAAGGGGTCACGTGGAGGCGTGAACCACTTCAAATCCAGAACCCGCGACGCGTCTTCGCCCCGCGACGAACATGGTGGAAGGCCCGAAGATATTCCTCCTCGCCACAAATTTTCGGATTTAGCAACCCAGACAGGGGAGGGAACTTGAATGCAAGATGGAAGTCCGAAAAGCGAAAAACCTTCAATGATCATAAAGCTTCAATGGCCACCTGGAAGGAGAGGGGGATAGTACCAGACTCGGAGGACGAGTTTGGCTCCGACAGCGATGACGATGTCCTTCTCCCACCGCCCGTGCCCGTTCCACGAACCGTCCTTCAAGAGAAGTCCAGTAGCAATAGCCTGCCTCCAGATGCAAACTCGCCAGTTCCTGTCGAGACTAGCGACATATGGGATCTACCATTCTCATCTCAAAAAGAGAACCAGCCACCTCAATCTCAATTGGCACGACCGAAGACACCAACGGAGCCATATTTCCAGCTTGTTTCCTCGCCACTTTCCGAGCCACCATCGGATCTAGGGATTGACGCCGATGAGTCGCAATCACCCAAGAGGAGAGCACCGATTCAACCAAGAAATTATGCTCGGGTATTCTCACCGGACCCTCTTGCGTTCTCACCAGCGAATGTTACCGATATCCGACCCCCTTCATCGAAACCAACTCGTCAGCCACCGGAGAACGAGACGCCGAATGAAAGCAATACCAGCCATGGTGTAGTGGATCATGAAGTAGATGGCGCTGAAAATAATGATGAAAATGGAGAATCCAGTGCGCAAGCTGAGGATATATCTGATCTTAGCCAGATGGAAGAACCCCTCTCCGTTTCAAACACCGAGACTGGAATCGACTACCCTACCGAAGACCTCGAATCTAGTGAGCTACATATAGGGAGGCGAACCTTTCGGCCACGGAAGCCAATACAAAAGCACCCATATGCACTGGAAAACGCGCTGTACTCGAAAATCTTCAAGTCCCACGGCTTGAAGCCGGTGAGACTCCAGACGCAAGAAAGCAGCCAGCAGAGAAAGGGAACGGAGGACGACTCACAAGAAAAAGATTTCGAAGAGGACACTCAAGAAACTACTAATGAGAGCCTTGAAACCTCTGACGAGAGTCAGGAACGTCCTGCGATCGAGGAGGCGAACCTTCTAGATGATCTTGGTTCTTCATCGCCGATTACACCGACCACATCACTACCACGACACCAAGGCGGCCCTAGTAGCCAGCCGAGCGCTGATGGCACTGAGAATACCAGTGTTGATGGGGATGCTGATCTGGATGAGTTCCCGCCCCTGGAGGAACTTGTCAACGCCCCCCCGCAGCACTCCTCATCCACTCGATCGAAAAAGCGAAAGAGCCTGTCATATTCGTCAATTTCAGCGAAGCGGTCAAGGTTAAGCGCTAGGAATGAACGACCAGGAAATGAGCGAGACGACATATATGCCCTCACTCCGTCTCGCCCGTACTCAATTGAGCAGCGCCGTTCTCAAACAACCCTAATTCCAAAGTTGAAAATTCCGGACGACTTCTCTCTTTCTCCTCCCTCGCCGAAACATAACCAGCGCCCACAAGATACCCGACCCTCGCCGCCTCCTACCGAACCGCTCAGATTAGAAACGCCCAGAAATCGTCCAATCGACCTCACTGCCGAAACGGATGACGAATCTGCGGACGAGTCCTCTGATTCCTCCGCGTCAGGTAGTGAATCCGAGGTCATTCGTGAGGTCGGAAAACGACTCCGTGGTGTTCTTCCCCCTTCATATTTGCGACTGAACGAGACCAAGGAGGCTAAATATCAACGCTCGAACCAGCCTAACCGCCCAGCTATCACATCACCCGGAAAGCTACCTCGTCGGGGCGTTGCGCAGCGGAGGACGCCAGGCCCCGAGACTCCAATCACTCCGAGACCCATATTTGATGTATTTGATGATGATGACGAAGACAATGCTGTCCCTCTCGGCGCTGAGGAAAGCCCTATCCCCATGGTCCAAACTACCTTGGTTCTCGAGCCCGATGAAGGGGAGACAGACGACAATGACTTATCGGCTATGGAAGACAACCAAATCGATGTTATGCTTCCCGTGAGAAAGCGCTCGAGCGCGGTATTACCCAAAGCATACGGCACAAAGCCAGCCAAGCGTCCGAAGCTCAACATCTCCCGAACCACTCAGTCTAGAATCACCTCCCACTTCGGAGGATCCGATATGAAAGGGCCTAGTAAGGCTAACCCACCGAAATTAAAATCTCAACGACGCACACGCCGTGTGATGCCTACCTCGAGGCGGCATCCTCCCCAAAATCGCAACACGGGTCCCGCTCCAAAGTTGGGTATTCTGGATGTCATTGAGCCCGACGCACCTCGGTTTCTCAAGATTGCCGCGCGTACTGCCAGGCGAAGCGACAATCTAGGGAGATCCAGCCCTACCCGCAAGGTCTTACAAATGGCAACCCGTTGGGACCATCTCGATGTTAATAGCGTGATGCAAAAATGGCGAGGCGGCCACCTGAAGCCTCGCCCACTTACTAAAAACCACCCACAGCCGAGACCTAAACCCAATCCGCAGCTGAATATCTCACACCATGTACGACCAAGGCCAATGTTCCGAAACAAGAAACTTATTACACAACTTGATACCGACGGCAATTTCACATACACCCAATCTACTATAAATCCGACTTCGACAGCGCACAATGCTCCTCGCCCGGAAGGCCAGACAACGAGTGGTGCGTACCTGTCTTCGAGGCCATTATATCGGCCTGCCCAGCTTGAGACGACTGTCGAGCAGAACAAATACACTTTCCATGCTAAGAAGAAGGCATTGGACGACCTCTGGAGGAGGACCAGGGGCAATTCACCATCGGTTGGGCCATTCTCAATCACGGGGAGTATCCTGCAAGATGATGTTGGGCGGGTGCTCTCCACTGGCCCTGCAGAGACGACAGATGCCCCTGGTTCTGTAAGGTCAATAACTCCAACTTCTTCGACGTCTCGGGCGGGTAATCGCTCAAAGTTCCGAAAGCGGTTCATTCCCAAGGAGATCGATACCACCGCTCCCCAGTTCTCGTATGCGAATGAGCCTTCTCCGCAACCTCTCCTTGAGCTCTCCTCGAACCCCATAGATGGACTTGGAAACTCTGATAAGCTAAACGGCCTGGGTCCTTTCGGAACTCAATATACGCACCATTTCGAAATATTCCCCTTAGACAGCGATGTCTTCTTTCATGAGACCACCCTCATCGGCCAGGGGCGGATCGACAAAGCGACTGACGGCTATGATCAGGAGAGGCTCGAGCAAAACCGTGGACGTACTACCTTTGAATTGGACGGCAAGACTCTTCGCTGGGGTTCCTGGAATGAGCAGGTATCGTCTGAGGTGGGAATTCTCATGGATTGGATGGTGGATCATTTTCACACTCCTTCACAAGAGTTTGATTTGTCCCGGAATGCAACTGCTCTCCAGGCGGCGGATTTCATGTTAAACTACATTCAGGACTCTATGAGCTTGCCTGATCCTGCAGCGGAGCAGTCATTCGCCTATCGCATTCTCGAACTGCTCAAGGGATTTCAGGAGAGAATCGAGGCTGATAGACCGTATTCCAAACCTCAGTGTCGAACGGTTGTCCTGGATGTCCTTTCGAGGATGCTGACCTTAGCGTTCACCTGCACGCATATCTGCCGCAAGTCCCCATCGCTAATAGATACGCGCATTCCAATGGAGGATCTCCTAGTTCGGATATCAAAAACAACCGCCGGGGCGCTCCTCGACCAAGGAATAGACGCTGTGCTGAAGTTCTTGGAGGATTCTCGGCAGCAGTCATCTCGGCAGAGAGGCGTACGGCGGAGGGATGTTATCATACAAAGCTGGGTGGTTCTGATGAGAACTCTGGAAGTGGCGCGGATTCCCCGATCAGGCTTTTGGGACGTCCTTTATTCCGTCATGATCACGAATGATATTAATACCGAGACGGATTGTGGGAAGCTCGAGGCTCTTTGGAAAACTATGTTCTCCCTTCTCCCGTTGCGCGAATTCGACAGCCACGGAGCGATTGTGGTCGGCATTAGGAGGAAAGTCTCCATGGATGGGTGGGCTCTGCCACAAAGGTTGATTAAGAGAGTACTCGATCTGTACAAGCAGAATCGCCGACAGGCCGCGAGCTTCAACGACTACTGTCGTGCGCTCATCAGCCGGTGTCATTACCTCGCTCAAGAATGGGGCTGGTCTAGGTGTGGAGGCATTGTCGGAAGCATATTCGACTTTTTCGGCTCCCAGGATCTCTCTCACCTTCGAAACGAGGAGGCTTTCAAATCACCACGATTCCTTGATGAGCTAGCAGGCAACCCATCTCTTGCCATTGAGCGGGAGGACAGGTGTTTCCACATATTTCTCAAGTTTGTGGCCGTCGTCATCAAGCGGCTACGGGACCGTGGCGCCACGAATGAGATACGCAACTTGGTTGCCCGACTCATGCCAAACCATAGTCGAGTGTATCTCAAAGACCAGCCTCTCCACTCCCATGACTTGGCTTCTCTACGGAACCACCACGACCTTCTTTGCACACTATTCTGGCCCGCGCCCCCGCAGCTCCGCCCAGGCGCTCATATCTTGGAGACACTCATCAAGCCCGGCGATTCCCACAAAGATGCGTGCCTCGTGAATTTGAAGGCCTGGAACCAATTGGCCAGATATATTGTGGCAACTGAGGAAGATGCCGAAGTCTTCAAGGTCTTTCGCCGCTGGCAGTTCGGCATGTTCCAGCAACTCCTTGACCAATTCAAGATGGCAGAGTCTGATGCCCAGGAGCAATACCTTGCTCTCTCGAAGGATGATAGCCAAGCCATCACTCAAGCCCGCATCGAGTTAGTCGTGAGCATGAACCGAGCGGTTGCGAAGGAGATCATTCACGCTTGTCTAAAAGCTTCCTTAGACACGATGTCATACGCACGAAGCCTTAAGGCTGCGGCGTTTGCGCTCAACTCGCTTCAGTTGGAAGAGATTTTCAATCACTTCTCCCTTATGCCAGTCACCCTGGACTGGGCAATCCTGCGAAGGGCTTTGGAGACGGTATCCAGCTATCTGACCAAGGTCGATGCCCTTTGCAACATGTCAGATTGCAGCGCGGGAGTACCAGCCGGTTTCTCCCAGGCGATGACAGCTCTTCATCGTGAACTATCACCATCCTTTTTCTCCATGGCACGATGCGTTTTGGGATCTCACGAGATCCAGCCCAAGTCTACCGTCGCTAAGGTCGACAAAGATGTATGCATCGAGCTTGCCGTTGTCCTCTCTGCAAAGCTGCTTTCTGGCTTTGCTAGAGTAGGGCTTGTCGCCATCTCCCAAGCGTTTGGGCGTGGAAAGTGTAGCCTCTTCCAGGTGGATGCCCACAGACTGTCTCTTAGCCACCGGAGATATCTCCCCCTTTTCGTGGCTATTCTTCTCAAGCAAGGCCCGTCCGACGCCACAGGCCTCGGCTCGAGTTTGCTTAATCTTTGGTTGCTGGCTATCGTGAAGCCTCGACGCTTCCTCGCGTATGAAAATCAACTCGCCGAAGAACTAAAACGGCGACATGAGCCTTTTGTCCCTGAAGCCGTTGTGGGACTCTCGATTGATCCCGACTACGGCTCAAACCACGAGCTCTTTGCCTGTAAGCTGCCGGCCTCCCCGTGCCACACCATTCGTGCTTGAAGACTTCCGAAACAAAAGTTGCTAATTTGACTATCCAGATGCTGTTTCCTGGATGCGCCGAGCGTTGCGTCAAGCGCCCCCGTCTTCAACAAAAGCCCTTAGCGCGGAGTTTGCTGCTGCGTTGCGGACAGTTATGGATCAAATCAAGTTTGATCTTAAGGCCATCTCGATGGACGCTGCCGACCACCCTATCTACGTCGTCTTTATCCGGGACATCGTATCACTCATTCGGTCTCACTGCACTGGCATGTGCACCATTGACGAATTTTTCTACCAGATCAACAAGGAGTATTCGCCGTCCCTCCAGGACCCCCAGCTGCATGTTGCAGGGATCATCTCTTACGGACTCCGGCTTGGCGAAGGCGATGCGAGAGTTGTCCCGCAGCTTTTCTACTACTTATACAACAACTTCAAGGTTGCTCTGATAAACAACAAACTTGGAAACGAGGCTCGGATGTTGCGAAAGGGGATGAAGAACAATCAGATCCTCGGCTTTGTATTCAGCAAGATGTTGCCAGCAGTCGCCACAGCGGCCGTGCGTGTACGCGGAGCATTCACCGTCTTAGATGTGTACTGTGAGGGGATGGCGCAACTGTTTGCCCGGTATCCAGCAAGTCATGAGCTCCCAAAGGAAATGCTCCCTGATGCGATTCATCTGTTGAGAACTGTTGTACGGTGTCTCTACGAGCTTTCTCGAGGGGGCGAGAGTCTTATCTCTGCTGAGAAACTACATGTTGCATGCCGACTGTGCTCGATCGCAAACGTTCTTTGGCCTTCATTAGGGACTCTGTCCTACACGGACACACCATCGCCATCGCTAGATGAGCTCAAGATCCTCTATCGGCGGTTACACGGGTGGTTGGACGGCTCAATATCATACCTTGAGGACGTTCTGATCCTACGGGAGACGTCCCCACGAGCTACCGATCTTTTCGGCGGGTTGAGAGCCGTGGCAGAGTCCCTACCGCCCGCGGATTCCTCAGCGGCATCCTTTGTCGAGTCCATTGTCACCGATGTGCAGAGAAACTGGATTATTACGGAGGAGAACATCACAATTCAAGCGCCGGGAAGGGTTCCAGGTTCAACCTCGACCCAGTCCGGCCAGGGGACGAGGAAACCACTGTGGGATGTTTTCGAACTGACCGAGAGTCTAAAAAACGAGTTGGAATTTTGGAATATGATGCAGGAACGGACTTTTCCACTTGGGGACGAGTGTAGGAAGCAGGACAGAGGCACTGGCGGTTTGTTTTTCTAAAAATGGACCTTGTTTTGAGGCGTTTTGGAAGCATTACGGGCTTTTCATGATCCGAAGCCCCGGAGTTGAGAGAAGGTGTTTCTTGTAGGCATTTATCATGAGGACTCATAATGAATATCATTTTGTTTCATCTAAACAATAAAACATCAATCCATACTTTCATGATGAGTGTAAAAGAGCATTGTCCTGAATGACAGTTGATGATGTGCTGTTTGTTGAGGTTCCAAGATGCACGCTGGCTACTTGTAAAGCCGTACCGACTATGTGAGTCAACGAGCAAGAACCCAAAGCATTGTAGCTCAGGGGTAGAGCACTGGGCTCATAACCCAGGGGACCTAGGATCGAAACCTAGCAATGCTACGAGATTTTTTTTTCTCTTCTTTTTTTCCACATTCAACAACTGCCTCTTTTATTCTCTCTCCTTTCTTTCCCATTCTTCACCTCTTACTGTTTTCCAATTTCCTTCCGCCCTTTCCTTTTTTTCTTTCTTTTATTTTCTTTTCCCTATTTTCTTGCCTATCTAAAGTGAAGCTGCTATAAGTCTGGCCTCAGGCTTGTTGACAAGTGACGCTATTTACCCGATATTTAGCCCGGATAAGTCTCCTGCCCGGGGAAAAAAGTTCGGCCAGCAGACGTCAATTTCGCAGGGAAAGGCAACTTCTCCACGGTATTCCCTCAATTGCAGTTTTCTGCATGCCAGATCGTCCGAATGCATGCTACACGGTCACGCGCTCTCGGCGTCGGACCTAGCATCAGGCAGTCGCGCCGAGCGCTGTCCCGAATACCGCAACGAACGCGGCCCTTCCACTTTGCCGCGTGTCTCCGGACAGCCAACGATCGACCGGTCGGCGAAACACCAGCGCCGGAGCAGCCCAGTGACAATGCGTCGCGTGAGAATACGAAAGAAGATGTCGATAGTGGCACGACTAGCGATCTAGGGGCTTCCGCGCAGGCTTCTTCGAGACGACCGAGGGTTAGCCACCGCGCGGCGCTACGAGCGCGGCAGGCGAAGAAGCAACCCGCGGTAGAATTGCCCAACTTCAAGATACCGCAAGAATTTCTCGACGACAATTTGTACATACACGACCCAAAGGGCCGGAATCACCCCACGCTTTTCGATGCTGTAGCTCTGAAGGAGGTCGTGGATACTTGGACGCAGCTGCTGAAGAAGAGTGGAAGGACATCGAACTGGAAGTTTCACAAACTAGAGGAGGACCCCCGATACTTTATAGATCCGAAAGGAGAGTACCACGATGCTTTTGCGCTGGTGCTCCAGCACTCCGGGTGGAGTGCGGAGGATGTGAGGGAGACGATGAAGAACGGCTTAGAGGGGGCGGAGGAGCGGTCGAGTCTAATTACCTTGAGCGCCGCACTGGCGCTGCACGGGTGGATTATGGATAACCCGACAACCAAACCACCAGCGGATTTTGCGGCACTATTAGAACGAATTCGTGCATCGGCACCGGCTATCAAACCTGAAACCGGACTTGCTGAAGACCTGGAAGACACGGCTATCGGCTACCCAGACGCGGAACAACTTCTACCTGAACTTAAACAGAACCCTTTATTCTATAAAGACCTTATGCAAGCGGTTGGTGCAGACCTCGAAGCCCGACCGCCGAAACGTCTCTCCTCGAGCGATGTAAAACGGCCTATAAACGTCATGAGCATAGCCGGGTTCTCCGGAAAGCGCATATCTACTCTCTTAACAAGATACATCGCTTCTGCCACCGGCGCGGATCTGATCCGGGTCGGAGCCTTCGAGCTCTCGAGACTAGTGGGAGGTTATCTGGGGCAGGACTGGGCCTACTCCAAGGGTCCCATGTCCATGATGGCATTTCGAGTTGCCGAATTCAACGATGTTCTTGGAGAGCCCATCCAGTGGCCTGTCAAGCGAGATGAGGATGACTCAGATGCAGATGCCACTGTTGTCCACCTCGGTACCGATGAGTCTGACGGAGAGTACAAGGATCCCATGGATAGGGAACTCACCAAGATCCGCGATAACGCAAAGGACTACCTTCTCCCGTCGGTCGATAGGTGGGAGAACCTCAAGATCAACGGTGCCTTGGAAGGAATTATCCGTGCCGCCGAGGCTAAGTCTGCGGACCCTCGCAACCAGAAGCTCATCGTCCAGATTGATGACTTCGTCGAGCTCGGCATGACTCTCGAGGGTGCGCTTCTCATCGGAAGGCTACGGAATATCGTGGACAACATGTGGCTCGACGGAAAGAAGATCGCAATCGTCGGAACATCGTCGTCCATGGAACTTTCCGAGAAGTACCTGACCTCACTGCGAGAAATCGCGTTGGAGGACTGCGTGACCATCTGCAATGCATCCCGCGACGCCCTAGGGTTCAACTTGGATCTGTACGAACAGCTCGACTGCCTGACAATCAACATGGACAATGCTTTCCACATGTGGAGCACCATGGTTGGCCATTCGAAGTCCTCGCCGAGTTTCCTTGGCATGCGTCTCCACCTGCACTTCTACCACACCATGCTTCACTATCTCAGCACGACGGGTGTTGTGTCGGCCAAGACATTCGCTGTGGGCGGGGATGAATTCCTCACGTCCCATAACGAGGTCATGGAAAAGGTTCTGCGGAAGCTTCTGGAGATGTTTGCCGAGCCTCTGCGGACTTCCATTTTACCTGCGACCGAGCTGTACCACTGTGTCCGCCAGGTTCTGCACCAGAAGCCAAAGCCAACCGAGGTGTGGCAGGCTTTCAATATGGCTCAGTGGCAGAGGGATATGACCATCGCTAGCACCAATGAAGGTCTCCGGGCTCGGGCTTGGGAGCCTCCAATCAACTCGAGGTCTACACCCTCTTCCTCAGATGCGCCGGGCAGTTCGGATCAACCCCGCCGGGTAGCCGAGACACTCGGAATTACAAACGACTACGAGAAGAAGCTCCTTGCCGGTCTCATTGACAAGGACCAGATCAAAACTACATTTTCTGACGTCCACGCACCCGAAGAGACCATCCAGGCCCTCAAGCTCCTGACCTCTCTTTCCTTGAAGCGGCCAGAGGCCTTCACGTATGGTGTCCTCGCCCGCGACAGGATTCCTGGCTGTCTCCTCTACGGACCCCCCGGCACTGGAAAGACCCTCCTCGCCAAGGCCGTCGCCAAGGAGAGCGGGGCCAGCATGCTCGAGGTCAGCGCCGCCAGCATCAACGAGATGTGGGTCGGCCAAGGAGAAAAGAACGTCCAGGCCCTCTTCTCGCTCGCCAAGAAGCTCGAGCCCCTCGTCATCTTCATCGACGAGGCCGACGCCCTCCTCGCCAGCCGCGCCGACAACGACCGCCGCACCCACCGCGAGACCATCAACCAGTTCCTCCGCGAGTGGGACGGCATGAACGACACCAATGCCTTCATCATGGTCGCCACGAACCGGCCCTTCGACCTCGACGAGGCCGTCCTTCGCCGTCTGCCCCGGCGCATCCTCGTCGACCTCCCTCAACAGGAAGATCGCCTCGCTATCCTCAAGATCCTCCTCCGCGGGGAGCACCTCGAGCCCAGTGTTGATCTTGACGCCCTGTCGCGCCGCACCATCCTCTATTCTGGCTCCGACCTCAAGAATCTCTGCGTGGCGGCTGCCATGGCCGCCGTTCGCGAGGAGACCGAACTCGCTGATAAGCTCATCGCCGATGGGAGCGGCGCCCAACCCGTCTATCCTGAGAGGAGGACGCTGAGGGCTGATCACTTTGAGCACGCGCTCAAGGAGATTGGTGCGAGCATTAGCGATGACATGAAGACTATGCGCGAGATTAGGCGGTTTGATGAGACCTATGGAAAGCCGAACAAGAAGAAGAAGTCGGGTATGGGCTTCGGGGTGGCCAAGGATAAGGAGGTGGTGAAGGAGGCGAGGGTACGTGCTGCATAGAAGGTTATATGGGATATGTGTGAAAATTCGGAAAGAGGATGAGGGCTTGGTACATATGCAGGAATGTATCTCTTTCGAGGCGGAATATTTGTATTATTACGATGCATGCTGGCTCTTGGCTTATTTTGCGGTGAGCTGGCTGGTATTTTAAAAACGATAGACTGTAAGACTATGATAAATTTTTGATTGAAGGTCCTCTATAATAATCACCGTGAAATGTTCAGCAAATGGTCATCAGTAAGATGTGTAGAAATTGGTATTCAAGGTTGTCATCCTCCTCCGTCCAGACTTTTCTGACTCGGGCAAAATGGTCACTCTCGTCAACACCTCCGGTCTCTATCCCCAACCCATCATATGGCCTCCCCTATCCTTCTGTAGTAGGCCGAAGACCCTCGGCTTCCAACGCCTTCCTATACTCCTCCTGGGCCTTGGACAAGGCAAAGAGAGTCGACTCCATCAACGCAAGGACAGCCTGTTTTCCACCCCCAACAGAATCAGCCTTCCATCTAATCTTCTTCTTCGTCCGTTCATAATACTCCCTAATCTCCCTCTTCTTCTGCGCGATAATCTCATCGCGGTGTTTCTCTGCCTCCTCCGCCACAGCATTAATGCGTCCGACGCTACGCTGCAGAGCCTCGTTGAGGTACTGCAACTCGAGGGCGCGGTCCGGATCACCCGAGAGGAACGCAGCCCAGAACTGCCGCAAGAACTCCGTCGTCGTGCTATTCGTAATAGTGCACTGGTGCGCTATCGCCGGCGGCAACCCCATGGGCGAGTCCTCGGCCCAGTCACCGCCGTACTTCTCCGACCGATGACGGCGGATGCCCTGGAGGATGTCTTCCTGGGCAGCGGCGCGGGTGGCGCGAGACCCGACGCGGGGAGGGCGAGGAGGCGCGTCGTCCTCCATGTCGCTGTCGCTGTCGTCTTCGATGCCTGTTAGGGCGTGCAGGTCGATGCCGTTGGGGGAGCTGGTGTTGAGCTTCTCGACGTTGGCTTTGAAGAGCTGGAGGACTTCGTCGGGGTTCTGCTTTGCGAAGATTTCGGCGTTGGAGGATGAGATGTCTCCGGCGTTGGAGAAGAAGGCTTGCTCTTCGTTGATCTTGAGAGGGATTCTATTCGCCTTTTCCTCGTCTCTAAGATCGCGGAGGATGAGTTCGTTGAAGGTCTTCTCGTCTACGCCCTTTGGTGCATGAGGGTCACCGTCAGAGGGTGCCACGTTGGCCATGATCTTGGCGCTTATACTATTCAGGGTTTTTAGGATAGGCACGTCCTTTCGGGGACGCATCTCGACATCTTTTCTGTTTCCACTTTTAAGGCCACCTTCATTGGCCTCGTTCGCTTCGACGTTGATAATTTGAGGGATGGTCTCCGGTGTGATTTTGGAGTAGATGCCCAAAAGGTTCTCATTGGGATCATATCGATCAAAAATCGGGTCGTGGGCATCGCTCGGCCCAATTCGCTCGCCGCGTAATCTCTTTGACAGCTTGCTAAGGAAAAACCGAGACCAGAATTCAGGTTCGGATAGCTTTGGGACTTGTTCATTGTATATCCTCATGACAAGAGGGTGCTGCTTAAAGATGAGGCTAATCTGTTTCTCGGTGATGTTGAGTTTGAGATCGCCGTCGACGGTCTTGGGCTTGATTGTGGCTAGGACATTGTAGTCTGCCTTTTGTTGGTTCTTGTCTATTAAGAACGCTCGTAGAATGTGAAGTCTCGAAGACCAGAACTGCAAATTGAAGGCGCCCAGGGAGATGGAGTCGGGTTTCGTCGCCCTGGCCTCCATGTAGGTTTGGTTGAGGGTACTATCAGTTTTCAGATACTCCAGCTGCAAGGAGATGTCGTTGAGGAGCTGCGAATCATCGAACCACTTTGAGGTTGCAGGCGTAGCATTCACGGCCGCGGCAAACGTCATCGAACCGGATGCTCTACCAGCAGCCGAAGGGGTGGCAGACCCGTTCGCGGCCGCTGCCTGTGCGGGTTTTGGTAGATTGGGATTGGTGCTTTGGAGAGCGCCAATAACTTTTGAGAGCGCATCTCTCATAGAATCAGCCTCGGGCTTCGCAGACGCCGTGTTGAAGTGGAAGAGGTACGTGACCGGATCTCCGCCATCTGGGTTCTTCTCGAAGATCTTTAGCATCACCTTGGGCGAGCTATCAGGCGTCTTTTGCAGGTCTGGTCATGATAGAGTCAGCGCAAACGAGCGTCTCCTAACTTAGAAACGAGTTGTATGATGAGATCAAAGCCTACTTGTGATGTTCTCTATGGGAAGGGTGATGGTAGGCGGTCCGGTGCCCGGCGCTGGCGTCCAGAGAACAGTCTTCTGGTCCGGCGAGAGTGATAATATTCCATCCTTCTTCTTGAACGCAGCGCGTCCCGAAGGAGGCTGGCCAGGACTGGACATCGTGGTGGAGAAGACGCAAATGAAAATGGTTTAGTGATTGTTTGAGGGAAGTGTCTCGTTTATCGGAGGACAATGCGAAGGAGTTCGATCATTGAGGCTACGCCTTCGAGAGAGTATCCGTTTTTCATATACCCTAAGCGAAAATAAAAGAGAGTCTTTTTTTTATGGTGAACTGGTCACAGATACGTAGAGGGAGTGAATTCCTCAGCCATAGCTCATACGCCAACACTCCGTATGGCTTCCTTCACTTCCTTCACTTCCCGTCCAAAGAAACACTACTCTCTTTCGACCCTGCTTCCCATTTGTCTCCCAACTAACCAGACCGGGCGTGGTTGAGCAAATGGGCGCAGCAGAGGAGCTAGAAATGGGTCAAGTTCAGCGCTCGCGTTTCGATGCCGAGATTAAAAGCTGTCTTGAGAGCAGGAAGTACTTTTATCTAGCTGCCCTGGGGCCTCGGGATAGTCGGCAGCTGGGTCCAAATGTCTCAGAAGGAAGCCTCCGTAGATTAGAATTACCGGTCGAAGGTTCGTTCGCCTTTCAATAAGAAGACTTGAGGTAAAGCCGGTTTCAACAATGCTCTGTTTGGAGATGACAAGGGAGATGTGCAAACCTGCACCATCATGCCTGGTGGGGTTAGGATATTTGTTCACGTGACTTTGGTTGCGTCATGCCCACCAATCAGACGCCTCCAGGCTTGTGATCATTTATCTCTGCCAACCTCACCCCTCAAGTTTCATATTGTGGATGAAATGGCTCTATTCCCGCTTACCCTTTTGATGCTTACTCCGGGATCCCATCTCTCAGGGCTCTCGAAGCGGGAAGAAGAGGCCTAGTCTTACTTGCCATCAGATTGACTGAAGTGATTGATTTGTCAAGGCGGAGGCAGGGACACGCTGGTGACACGCACGGGCACACTAAATTGACTATCTGAAAACAGGAATTCGAATTCGGTCTGTCATCTCGGAGAGATCACCAATGATCGAGCTCGCAAACACGGAGCCAAGATCAACCAAGATAACTAAAAGAGAGAAAAAAACAATGAGCACAGATATACCACGGCTCCCTTACAGGTACCGGGCGCCATCAGACTCCTTTCTTTTCTCCGGTGAGTAAATATATATTATCACCTTCAAATCAATAAGGCATGATCGATCCTCCCGGCGGTGGCGGAGGAATCGGCGGGGCCCGGCGCCGTCTGCGGGGCGTGCGCAAGTAGGTCGTCTCTACACACCCAGCCCTTATCAGGTCGTCCCGCGTAACCGCAGCCTAGGGCTCGCTAGATAGGCGTACCGGGAAAGTCACCACTGGATCTGTGTGGCTATGTATTGGATAGGGAGAGACACAGGATTCGGGAGACTCATTATTATTCGAAGCACACCAGTGAAGTGAGTGAGCCCACCGGCGCGTTCCTAGATTAGAGATCAGGCGCGTCAAGCACTACTTCGCACTCTATTTCATGTTTGGGAGTAGCCTCAGATTCTATAAACACAACCACAACACGACCAAAACGCAGGCAAACCCACACTATAAATTCACGGCTTCAATTATCTAGAAAGATGGCTTGGGCTTGGTCGCATGGACTCGCGGTGACACATTTCCTCTTTTGGGATTCAAGTAATAGAATTACACCTGAAAGGGGATAAAAGGGAAGTGAGTCGGATTTGAAGTCGTATAAGGAGTGTGTCAGACTGTCAGCCCATCAGACCTCGGTGAGTGCCTCAGTGCGTCGTCGCAAATATTAATCAATTGTTTGCGCCTCTCCCCTTCATCAGTCAAAGCAGGCCAGGCCGGGCTGGCATCACGGTTTTTCCAGGACCCATTCATCTGCACCCGCCTTCACCCTTGACCAGTTGATCCCCAGACTCACCCCAAGGCCAAACTCTGACTTCGCTTTCGCGCTGTTGCCAAATTCGATTTGGACGACGACCCTGATACGCCAAACAACAGAAAGTGCCCCACATTCAAAGCTACCAAGCGCGGAAGCCGAACGGCTTTGAGCCTCCGGTCTTCCGGCCTTCAGGATCGGGCCAACCCCCCCTCTTAGGTTCAACGGGCGTCTCAGTCATTGTCACTTGCAACTACCCCAATATATTTGACGTCATACCCTAAACACAATCACGACATTGAACGATCCGAAACCTCGCATTTGAAACAAGTATTTTACAGTGCCTCATCAGTCACCTTGTTATTGGCGGAGTTGTCAACTCAGGACAAACCGATCTACGCTACACTCACATTGAGGGTGTCTCACTCGTGGCAACAGCTTCCTGAACAGTGGCCGTGGATCATCTCCCGCACTTCGACCCTTCTTCCACTCAACTTTTCCGCTCTACGATCAATATCCCAAGTCCATTTGCAGTGGGAAATTCACCACGTCTGTTATCATTACTGGCCATTTTCGCATCGCCTCTCACAAGATTTCATCATTCAGCCACAATGTCATCGACGCAATCAAACGGCTCGCCCGTCGTGGGTCCATCCGTGGATTCTACAGAGAGCACCAAGTTCCAGCAACTTTTCTATTGATATCCTCGATGAAGATCATCGCGAACTCTTTACGCGTGCTGTGACTAGGATCCTGTCCACTGACATTGCGGAGACTACCTACGCACAAATCATCGACGGGCTACCGCTCTTCGACGTTCTTCTGGACAGCAGAGATGGATTGTTTCCTAAAGGCCATCCTATCCGGAACCACACTCAGCTTTGCCCAGGCATACTCGACAAGACCCGAGAGTTTCGTGACAAGTTCCGCCCCCAAACACTACAATTCGACTCCAGAGTAAGAGCGACACATATTATAACTGTCCCCAAACCGTGATCCCCCACCACTAATTTCTGTGATGAGCAGCTTCTTTCTGCATACAAGGCCGCTGGCCCAGGCTCAAAAGCATTCAACACACGTCTGATTGAAATGACCGCCGTCGCTGTCCACGAAATCGCTGTACTCCTTTTTAACCGCAACACGAGCCTGCATAAGGATGACGGGATCACAGAGTGGACACCACCAAAGTCCGACACGTGGTTCTGGGAATGGAATCCAGACGGGCCCCTTCCCACCCTCTTCAAGCACCCGTGGTTCATAGACTTTGAACAATACCCTAATGGAGTCGCTGACATGGTCGGCTACTGGGCCGAGGCGCGTATCCTAGGTGGCGTAGTCCTGTTTGATCGGCGCACGCCAGACGACAAACCCGCATCCAGCCTTGACCTAGATGATGAGGAGCTCTCCTATCTCTTGCCACCCAAACTGGACCCGGATGCCATCTACTTCCACTCTGACCGAGAACACGTGACGTATAGGATCTATCAACTCCTGCCCGAACAAAAACAAGCTCTAGTTGACTTTCTTACCGCCGATCCTCGACCGTTGACTTGCCCTCTTCCAATCTTGGGAGATGACAACAATCTACCTCGCGTTGATCCAGAGGAGCCGCTTAAGGCGACTGGGATTTATCGGGACATTTGGGAACGTAAAGACCGCCCTTTCGAGCGGTCTGATGCCCGGTTGAGGGATGTGTGGGATACCAACGACTTCCCAACAAGAGATGACAAGGGGGCAGCAGCGAACCGCGCGATGGAGATGCGGTTCCAAGCTGAATACGGTGACGACTTCGATATCGATCCCGAACTCTAGAGGTACCGTGGATATGCAGGCACGTCCCTATTGTGTGGGGGAGATAAGGTCTTAAACCAAGCGTTGCGGGAACAGAGGTTAGGAGGGTCTTGGTACTCTTTCCATATTCTAACATCGCGTTTGTACGAAGTATGAAATAGCTACCAGCTACATTAGTATGATAGGCGTTATTCATCCATTTCTTCTACTTCGTAGCATCATCGGATCAACTTTAGCATCCGAGCCAGCTGCCGAATGTCCTCAAAATTGGACCCGCAGTAACCATGTCACATCACATCGAATTCATGCTAGTTTCGAATTCAAAGCTAAGAATGGTTAGGAAAATAATGCCTATGCATCCATACCCCAGGTCCAAGTCTCAATAAAATGACTGGTAGATGTGGGTATAAGCATGCGTGTATTCTCTTGTTGGGAAAGATGCTGAGTCTGGAATCAAAGTTCGTATGTTGTATGTTGATGCCCCCGGAGGACCGGGCCCAGGGTTAGTCTGAATATTCTCTCGTTTTCATTTTGCAGCTCTCGCTCTTCCTGCCGGTCGTCCGAGCACTTGGAGCTTGCAGTTGACGTACGAAGTACTTGATACTTTCCAGTGGGGCGTTTGGACCTACCGAAAATGGTATCCCCATCCAGCAACAGACAGCGCACATGCGTAATTATCTCATTGCTGACTTTGCTAGTCTCGAAGCTACTTTGATGGTCAGGCACCAGACACCGCGCACACACACCGATTGTTTCTGCAGACGCATGCCCTCGAGGATGAGTGCCTGCATATCCTATGTTGTACTGAGGTATTATGCCCACTTAATGGCTCAAACATGACATTGTTATTCGCTGCTGCACAACCTCAAGTCAAAAGAACCCCATTTCCGATGGAATACCAGCCACAGCGGAACCACCTGTGGCGGCCCTTCCGGAAATTTCTGTGGCGACGGCTATTCCTGACACGAGTTCCCTGCAAGCTCTTGCCGAGACTTCCTTGCAGCTTCCTTGATTGGACAGGCATTACATAATCCGGGCTCTCCTTGGCCCAACCGGGTTTTTGTGGGGCGCCAAGTCCACCTGACCTTCGGATTTCAGCCAGTCAGAGCTCCTCTCCAATCACAGCCGGGCCCGTTGCCGTTTCACTGACATTGCCGTCGTTACTCCGAGCATTCCTGCGAGTCCAGCTTTGTCAAGTTTTGGTGTGTAGTGTACGAATTGGAAGGTACTGAGGTAGTGTACACATTACATATCAATGCTTCATCGTCATTTTTTTTTTCACTCCAACTTCCCCTTTGCTTGAATCCGTTTTCGCTAAACACAGCTTGTGCCACATTTCAGGCTTTGCAATTGACCTTGCTTAAGCTTTTGCTTCCATGTACTAATCTGTGCGGCGTTGTCTTTTCTTCTTTTTCCTTTTTTCTTCCCCCAAAGACTTACTCCGCCGCTCATTCAGCTTCGATTTGCTTGGCCAGCCTGGTGCTTCCCGCTCGCCGAGTCCTCCCATTTTTCCGGTCGAGAGAAGCATTGCGACGAGAAGCTTGCCCCTACGAGACACACCGAAGTTGCCGTCAGCCGAAACTATCACGTTAGACTATATACGCGACTTTTTTTTCTGTTGCCGCAATCCCCTCATACATATCAATCGCAAGCTTAGAGCTCCAAAACCTCTCAGCATGCTGAGGAATATCGCCTGCAGGGCCGGAGGTCGCCTCCTGAGCCCATCGACTTCTTCGCCGGCATGGCGATCTGTTTCTACCCGCAGAGCCATGGCCGTGGCCAGCCAAAAAACAAGATACACCACGAGCGCGACTTCCGTTCCCCCGGACACAAGTGACAACTTCCTTTCGGGAAGCGCGGCGAGCTATATCGATGAGATGTATATGCAATGGAAAGAAGACCCTTCGAGCGTCCACGTGTCGTGGCAGGTCTACTTCCGAAACATGGAGAGCGGCGATATGCCCATCTCCCAGGCTTTCATCCCTCCGCCCAACCTGGTCCCCAGCGCTACTGGAGGTGTCCCCAGCTTGACCCCTGGTCAGGGCATGGGACACAGCGAGAACAGCGATCTTATGAAGCACCTCAAGGTCCAGCTTCTGTGTCGCGCGTACCAGGCTCGTGGTCACCACAAGGCTAACGTTGATCCTCTCGGTATTCGAAACTCTTCCAAGGGCTTTGGTAACGTCAGGCCCCGGGAACTGACCCTCGAGTTCTACAACTTCACCGAGAAGGACCTTGATGCCGAGTTCGAGCTTGGCCCTGGTATCTTGCCCCGCTTCAAGACCCCTGAACGCCAGAAGATGACTCTCCGCGAAATCATCTCCACCCTTGAGCACATCTACTCGGGATCCTTTGGTGTCGAGTTCATCCACATTCCCAACCGCACTCGCTGTGATTGGCTTCGGGAGCGCCTTGAGGTCCCCACGCCCTTCAAGTACTCCATCGACGAAAAGCGCCGCATTCTCGACCGCTTGATCTGGAGTTCTAGCTTCGAGGCGTTCCTTGCCAGCAAGTACCCCAACGATAAGCGATTCGGTCTCGAAGGTTGCGAAACCCTTGTTCCCGGTATGAAGGCCCTCATCGACCGTAGCGTTGACTATGGCGTCAAGGACATTGTCATTGGTATGCCCCATCGTGGTCGTCTCAACGTCCTGTCCAACGTCGTCCGAAAGCCCAACGAGTCCATCTTCAGCGAATTCGCCGGTACCCAGAGCCCCGACGAGGGATCTGGTGACGTCAAGTACCATCTTGGTATGAACTTCGAGCGCCCTACCCCCTCTGGCAAGCGTGTCCAGCTCTCTCTCGTCGCGAACCCGTCCCATTTGGAGGCCGAGGACCCTGTTGTCCTGGGTAAGACGCGTGCTATCCAGCACTATAACAACGACGAGAGCGACCACAAGACCGCCATGTCTGTCCTCCTTCACGGTGATGCTGCCTTTGCCGCCCAGGGTGTCGTCTACGAGTGTCTCGGATTCCACTCTCTTCCTGCCTTCTCCACTGGTGGTACCATCCACTTGGTTGTCAACAACCAGATTGGTTTCACCACCGATCCCCGCTTCGCCCGATCGACTGCCTACTGTACCGATATTGCCAAGGCCATCGACGCCCCCGTCTTCCACGTCAACGCCGATGATGTTGAGGCCGTCACCTTCGTTTGCCAGCTTGCCGCTGACTGGCGCGCCGAGTTCCAGCACGACGTCGTCATTGATCTCATCTGCTACCGAAAGCACGGACATAACGAGACGGATCAGCCCTCGTTCACCCAGCCCCTCATGTACAAGCGCATCAAGGACCACGAGCCCCAGATCGATATCTACGTCGACAAGCTCCTCCGTGAAGGCACCTTCACCAAGGAGGACATTGAGGAACACAAGAGCTGGGTCTGGCGCATGTTGCAGGACAGCTTCAACAGGTCCAAGGACTACCAGCCCACTTCCAAGGAGTGGACCACGTCGGCCTGGAACGGCTTCAAGTCCCCCAAGGAACTTGCTACTGAGATCTTGCCGCACAACCCTACCGCTGTTGACGAGCAGACATTGAAGCACATTGGTGATGTTATTGGCTCTTACCCCGAGGGCTTCACCGTACACAACAACTTGAAGCGAATTCTCAAGAACCGCTCTAAGTCGGTCCTCGACGGCGCTAAGAACATTGATTTCCCTACTGCTGAGGCCCTCGCTTTCGGTTCGTTGGTCACCGAGGGCAACCACGTGCGAGTTTCCGGCCAGGACGTTGAGCGTGGTACCTTCTCGCAACGTCATGCCGTCTTCCACGACCAGGAGACGGAGGACACCTACACTCCTCTCCAGCACCTCAGCAAGGACCAGGGCAAGTTCGTCATTTCCAACTCGTCTCTCAGCGAGTTCGGCGCTCTCGGTTTCGAGTACGGTTACTCTCTCCAGTCTCCCAACGCCCTCGTCATGTGGGAGGCCCAGTTCGGTGATTTCGCCAACAACGCCCAATGTATCATTGACCAGTTTGTCGCCTCTGGTGAGGTCAAGTGGATGCAGCGAACCGGTCTCGTCATGTCTCTGCCCCACGGCTACGACGGACAGGGTCCCGAGCACTCTTCTGGACGTCTCGAGCGATACCTTCAGCTCTCCAATGAGGATCCTCGCATCTTCCCCTCTGAGGACAAGCTCGCTCGTCAGCACCAGGACTGCAACATGCAGATTGTCTACATGACCGAACCTTCCAACTTGTTCCACGTTCTTCGCCGACAGATGTGCAGGCAGTTCCGAAAGCGTAAGTTTTACTTGATACTCGCAAACATGTTTCTTATTATCCTTCAAAACGATCCACTAACTCTGCGACTCTTTAGCTCTTGTCATCTTCTTCTCGAAGTCTCTCCTCCGTCACCCGCTTGCCCGCTCGTCTCTCGACGAGTTCACCGGTGACTCCAGCTTCCGCTGGATCATCGAGGACCCCGAGCACAAGACCGGTGTCATTAAGTCGCCCGAGGAGATCGACCGCGTCATCCTGTGCACTGGCCAGGTCTACACCGCCCTTCACAAGTACCGCCAGGATCACCAGATCGACAACGTCGCCTTCACGCGTATCGAGCAGCTCAACCCCTTCCCCTGGCAGCAGCTCAAGGAGAACCTCGACATGTACCCCAACGCCAAGACCATCGTCTGGGCCCAGGAGGAGCCCCTTAATGCCGGTGCTTGGAGCTTCACGCAGCCCCGTATCGAGACTCTCCTCAACCACACCAAATACCACGACAGGAAACACGTCATGTATGCTGGCCGCAACCCCAGCGCTTCCGTCGCCACTGGTATGAAGCACGTGCACACTGCTGAGGAGGCCGAGCTCTTGGAAATGGCCTTTACCGTCAAGCAGGACAAGCTCAAGGGTGAGGCTTAAACATAAGCAAACCCAAACGAAAAAAAAATCACAAACAAAAATTCTGAGGTGCGGGGAAGGATGGTGAGAGGCGAGATCTGTACAGTTTTCACACTTTTATTTTGGACCCCTTTTTTACACAATATGATCGCGGAAGAAGGGAGAAAAAGATGGGGGCTTTTATTCCTTTACCTAATCTCTTTTGATGTTTCTTTGCTCAGGTCGGCATGAGGAGGAAGACGACGAGAATAACCAAAACAACATGGGTTGAACAAATTCTTCCACAAGAATTCCGAAATACAAAAGCCCCGAGGCACCCATATAAGTGTAGGGGGAGGGGAGAGAAAAATAGCATTATTACTATTTTCCTGTTTCTTGCCTCCTAACGAGGACACAATCAATGGGGGACTTTGTTTGTCGTCCCTTTTAGTGTCCAACAAACACAAACAATCATTCAGTCGTTTCATTATTTTCTCCTCGTACGGGACGTCGAGAGATTTCTGAGCGACGACCTGTATAAAAAAAAAAAGGAGGGGAGCATGAGATGTTACAAAGGAAATGCCATGGTCATCATTATAGAGTCGGTAGTTTAACTTATGATTTTTTTTTTTTGCTTTTCTGGGATGAAAGATATGTGTTCTATTCAGTTCCAAGTCGATGTGAAATTTCCGAAGAACGCACTCGGACATGGTCGAAGAAGACGTCACTTCTTTTCCTTATTTTCTTTCTCTATGTCTATCGAGAAAACACATCGTACACCAGAAGCGCCACGAACAAACAACCGCACCATTAGAAACAAACCACATTAGTACAGAATATGAGGTTCCTAAGGCGATAGTGGCACCTGCCAAGTTCGTACAAGTCCGTCGTCACCCGTCGTGACGAGCATCTCCTCGCCAGGCTGCTTCTCAGAAGACGAATCGTATCTCGGACACCACGTAATATGGTTAACTTCGTAAGGGCCGTGGGCGCCATTATACGTGGCGAGGAGCTTCCACTTCTTAGAGCCGACGGGCTGGTCCTCACCCTTGAAAGACTCCGGGGTGATGGCGTTCTCGGGCGATTCGGCATCGTCTTCTTCGCGGTAGAGGGCGATGATGCCGTCACTGCCGGTGCTGGCGACGAGGCCGGTCTTGGGGCTCCATGCGACGGAGTAAATATCTCGCGTGTGAATTTTAGGGAGTATGGCCTCGCAGACCCAGTCCTCCCTGAGAGATCTCCGCATCGTGTTGGGAATGCCACCTAGCGTCGCCGTAGAGGACTCATCCCCATCCTCTTCATCAACCTTCAACTTCCACACCCTAACAGTCCCATCCGCAGAACAACTCAACAACCTCGGAAACGCCCCGTCCCCCCTCTCCCTCCCCTCCCAAGCAATCCCCCAAACCGTTCCCCCGTGCCCACTCAAAACCGCTACGCAAACCCACTCCCCATCCCCATCCTCCCTCCATATCCTCACGGTATCATCATAGCTCGCACTCGCCAAAACATCCGCCGAATACGTCCTCCGCGCATTCCTCCCGGGGACGTCAGGACACCACGCCACGGCTTTCACGTCCCCCTCGTGCTCGTTCAACACGGCGACGGTCTCCCACTCGTCGTCGTCCTCGGCGGCGCCTACGTCTTCCCAGATCCAGACGGACTTATCGCGCGAACAGGTGGCGAGGTGGGCGCCCGAGGGGGAAAATGCCACGCCTTTGATTTCGGAGTCGTGGCCTTCTAATACGAGCGTAAACTGCCAATCTGTTTCTTCTTCCTCTTCTTCTTCGTCGCCGGACGTAGTAGTCAAGTCTGTCGCATGATCACCCTCTTTATTCGCCGTGCTTTCCCATCGCCATAGACCCGCCGTCGAATCGAAGCTGCCGGAGACGAGGCACAGGCGCGAGGGCGGTAGGTTGGGCTTCCAGGCCGTGCAGCGGATGGAGCGCTCGTGGCCGTTCGTTACGGTGCTGTGCGGGGTGAGGGAGGTCAGAGAGAAGACGGTTACGGTGCGACCGTGGGAGGTTGCGAGGAGGGGGAGGGTCGGGTGCGGGGTGGAGGACCACGCGCGTTCGTAGAGGTCGGGTTTGAGGGGGGCGAGGGGGGTGATGGTGGCGGGTGGGGTGGGGGACGGCATTGCGCGGGGGTTCTCGCGTCGGTTCAATTCTTGTTCCTCGTTGAGAAGAGTAAGAGCACCGGCGGCTCAAACGGTCGTAGTTGGAAAGGGATTTGTGAGGGCGTGAGAACAGGACGGGGAGGATGTTCGCGATTGTGAGGGATGCTGGAGATGCTGGAGGGAGGCTTTTTAGTGGGGGCAATTGGAGAATGGGATGGAGGGGCTGATTGATAAGCGATAAGGAATTGCAGCATGAAAACGATGGCTGTGATTGTGACAGAAATTTGACCTGAATAGTGCCGACAACAAGTACACATATCAAACCGACCACACATATTATTAGTAACTAAACACATAAAATACATCTTGATACTCCTCTCTGTACCTACGGCTGGTCCAGTGGCATCTAGCACGATTGAAGCCTCGATGTTGGATAAGTTTCTCATACAGCAGATGGAACGAGTAAAGCTCATCAAAACTCAAACGTTACTCCCCTGGAACGTTCAAATTCCAGGCTGCTGGCACTGTTGCGGCAGTCTCGCACTCCGCCGGCGCAGAATATGTCCGATCAGGACTGCTCTCCCACTCGACTTGCCTCCCATCCTCGCCGACCCGGACGAACTTGTACTGGATACTCTGCCCAGCTAAGAGGACGATCGAAACACTCCAGACCGGGTCTTCCTCAGTATACCCCGTCGCGTCCAAATCAACCCCGAGGGTTGGATCCCAGCCGCCGAGGATATCATTATTGCCGACTATTCTGATAGTTTGACCCCACGATGTGGTGACACGGACTTCGAATTTAACTACGACATACCTCGTCCCTGGACAGGAACTCCCACTCTCGCTAGGGGACTGCAATGCCGTCGGTGCCGTTGCGTCGGCATCGCCATCTGGGAGGGGGAACAGCGAAGGAGTCGCAGCCTCATAATATCCGACGATAGACGTCGGTACACACCGATCTGGGACCGAGACGGCAGAGGGATTAAGCCAGGCCTGAGGAATCTGCCCATCTCTACGCGCAACCGCTGATAGGAATGCTCCGTAAGACCATGTAAGATCCCTAGCAGAAACAGGCGTTCCGTCGTCACGGCCGAACTGTTCGGCGATGGAACCATTGTGGTGAATATATCGCGCCACGATCTCAATGAATCCGTCCGCGTAGGTTGCAATGGAATGCGCAAGATCGCCAAATTCTGTGGAATCGTTTAGATATTTTCCCGGACTAAGGCCTGGGGTGAAATCCCGAAAGAAGGCCAAGTCAACATCTGTGATGTCGATATGCCCGTCTCGTTCCCACACGTAGAGAGCATCATACAGCTGTTCGGCAGCGGCGAGTGTGGCGAGATACCAAGGGTTCCCTCCGTAATAGACGTCTTCGGGATATCTCCCGATGGAGACGGCTTTTCCCAGTTCTATTCCCTTGTTGACTGAGTATTCGGTCCTAAACGAGTCCACGAGAATCTTGTGCGTGGCGAGGGCCTTGCTACTACATGGTTGAAATGTTCTGTCATCGCATCCGGCGGAGGGATCGAAGGAATGGATGGACGCTAGGATAGCGTTGACGTCTTTGCTGGAGCGACCGTCGCGAGAATTGACTTTGAGAGGCGTTCTGTGTTAGTAGAGGGGAACGTGAGGGGGCACAGGATAAACTCGTGGGCATATTCATACTATTAGAGAGAATGTATCCTTCTGTAGACGACCAATATTGCTGAAGGAAGCAAAGAATCTGTGGAGCAATAAGGTCGCAGTGTGGACATGAAAAGCCGAGTGCCTTGGCCAGAGTGCCTCCCTCGACAAGTGCTTGTCTATTTATTAGCGAGAACCCAACAGAACGGGGATATTGCGAATAAGCGATGCTTACCCCGGTACTGGCTTGCTGTGGTGAAGAATGAGCTCCCCTCGACCTCTTCCCAAAGGTCAAAGCCCGTGTTATTCCTACACATGTTGTTAGCCTCCGTGACCCTTCGCTGTTCAAGCCATGGCAGATTTCATACCAATACTGGACAACATAGCTCAGATCGTTTTGGATGACAGGCCAGACCTTGTCCAGAGCGAGAGAGGCATATCCATCTTCCAAGAGCCAGTTTGCATAAGTAATCGCCGCAATAGCCCTCAGTGCGGGACCATCACGCTGCGGACGACCTGAGACACACAACCGTATAAGCTACCCGATTTTACTTTTATCGGAAATTTGCAGAAGCTTTCATACCCCAGTTCTCGGTAAAGGCCGTCAGGTCAACATGGAACTTCGGCTCTGCAAGCCCAGACCCATCTCTAAGACTGCCCGACGGGTTCTCGACCTTCTGGAGGGAGGCTTGGGCGAGGATATAGTTATGAATCTCAGTTTGCAAGTCCGTGGTTGTATTCCTGGTGAAGATCTCCACTAGACCTTTGAATACGAGAGCCGAGTCTCGCGTCCATGTGTAGTAGTCTAACTCAATATTAAAACAAAGTCTACCTCCTAAACAAGGACACTAACAAAGACTTACAGTCCGGATCTACCTTGCTCGGAGATGCAAGAACAATACCCGCACCAACAGACTCATCATCAACGCATTCCGGACCGATATTGCACAGGATATTCTCGAGAGATATCGGACGTTCCCATGCAATAAAGGAATCGAGGGATCCGTTCCATGGCGCCGACACGGGACTTTGAACTTGCAGTGCGGTCATGATGTTGGGAACAAACAGCTGAGATGTCTGGGAGCAGAAAGATCCTCCAAGTAGGCAGAGGATGCTTTGATATATTGCAGATACGAAATCCATCCTAGGCAAACCTCCCCACAACGGGAAGTCGTCGTCGGCTGGCGTTGACTCGCTTATATGTAAGGAAGGTGCTCCCGGGGGCCGAGAGAGCACGACATCTGGCAATGAGCTCAACGGCAAGATATCCGGCGGTACTCCTGCAAAGTCAGGTCCTCACCATAGCGCGAAGTTAAGGCGGCCTACGACGCATCCAACCAAGATATGAGCAGGAGACATCATGAATTAAACGCTTCGGATCTAACACAGCCAAGGCTATTCAAGGTCTTTGGTTGGGCATTCCCGCCACACACCCCATGTGATCAAGTTGATGCGTTCCAATCCGGCATGGTCGCACGTGAACCACCGATTCGCTCAGGCACCCATCGCACTCGTCGTACCCGGGACCGGATGGAATGTCGCAACGATCCCTGATGGATGTCGCCGTGGTGTCGGCCGGGATTTAGATTACAGGAGGCGGCACTATTTGATGGACTGCTCAAACAAGTCGTGTCTCTCGCGTCTGGTTGGCTACACCTCGCGGCTTGGTATTTGTGGCACTACGTATCCATGTTCGGGCCTTCTCTTATTAAGTGACGGACAGCCTACCTGGTTGTACACCGAGGGGAGGGCAGGCAAAGAGAATGGACAAACAAACAAGTACGGGAAGAATCAGGACGCAAGTGTTTTGCTAGGTTCTCCCCTCCACAAGACGTATCCCCCGACCGCTTCCGAGTAGTCCGTTTCGAGACTGGCATGCGCCGAAAACAGTCCAAGGATCTACAAACATGCACACATATAGACAAAAACGAAAGGCGAAGAAATGTGGCAGGATGGTTTTCCCCTACCTCACGGATCAATGATCTCGGAAAAGAGGGTTGGAATATAGCTGCCCCAAACAATAAAGTTGGTCGGTCTGGGATCTGTCGATCGGATGATTGGCACCATGGGGACTAGTGGTGGCTCCTTAGGAACGATCGAGCCTCCCCAGCGATCAACAGCTGAACACGCGAACGTGCAGGAGGAAAGCTGGGAACAGATCCGTGATTGTATTGAAAGAAGAAGAAAAAAGTGAGGAAAATGTGAGGGCGAATTTTTTTGGGTGATATAGGGAGGAAAATATTGCTGACATAATAAATGCTTATATAATCTACAGTCTTCTAATTGCTTGTCGACTTTATATTACCAGCGTCACGTCCATTCAAACTGTTGCGATGAACTCTCCCAAACAGGCAGCGCTTGCCATCTCACAAAACCGACTGCTCGTCTTCCCACCAACGAATTACTCTCCTCACGGGCATTACGACGACCTTACAAGCTGGCGCCAGGATAAAAACATTATAAAACTCGTCGCATCGAATTCTTTACCCCTCTACCCGCATCAAAATCCGCCCACCATGGACGCCGCCACCCTCGAAGAGACGAACAAGCTGCGCATCTCGCTGGGTATGAAACCCCTGCCCGTGCCAGGCGCAGCTGCATCAGGATCCGAAGACGAAGGCAGCGGCCATGACGAGCCGGCAGATTACCTCGAGGCTCGGACGGCCGAGGCCTACGACAACTTCCAGAAGCTGCGTGACGAAGAAGAGGCGAAGCGGAAACGTGACGAGAGGGCCGCGGCCATCAAGAAGGCGCGCGAAAAGGCCCAGCGACATGCCGTGATGGAGGGAAAAGGTCTAGGCGAGCTCGGGGCCGGGGAGGAGGAGCTCGATGCCAAGGCGTGGTTGATGGGCCAGAAGAAGAGGCAAAAGAAGATCGCCAAGTTACGGAGGTTGGAGGAAGAGCAAGCTGCGGCCGAAGCGCAGGCGGCGGCGGCTGTTCAGTATACTTCGAGAGATCTCGCCGGGGTAAAGGTCGCGCATGATGTTTCGCAGTTCGTGGACGGCGATGAACAGATCCTTACTCTCAAGGACGCGACGATAGACCAATATGAAGAGGAGGGGGATGAGCTTGAGAACCTGGGTCTCAGAGAGCAGGAGAAGCTCAAGAAGAATCTCGACCTGAAGAAGAAGAAGGCTGATTATAACCCACTTGATATGGACAACATGGATGTTCAGAATGTGCTGTCCAAGTACGACGAGGAGATTTATGGCGAAAAGAGAAAACGCTTCACTCTTGATACTAGCGGCGCCGTTTCCGACTTGGCCGACATCCTTGATACCGCACCCAGCAAGTCAAGCAGAGGCCAGACCGTGAACATAGATATCATCGATGGTATGTCTAGCAGCCTTCAGTCTCGAGATGATGGTTCCTTTACATTTGCTAACGGCTTTGCCTCTCCAGAAAACGCCCGGCCGTCGTCCGACTATCTCGATATATCAGAGATCAAGGTGAAGAAGCCAAAGAAGAAGAAGACAAAGTCGACGAGACAAAAACCCGTAGACGCCGATGACTTTCTCCTACCCGAACCCACACCCGAAGATGACCAAAAAATGGATATCGATACTAGCGTGAAAGAGAATGCTAGGAAGCGAAAGAGCGAGGATGTCAATTTCGTCGACGATGATGACCTTCAGCTCGCCCTTTCCATGCAGAGGAGAAATGCCCTGAAAAAGAGGAAGAAGATGCGGCCCGAGGATATCGTCAAGGAATTAAAAGAGGCCGATGACTCGGAAGAAGCCGTGCCGGAAGACGATGGCGGGCTAGTGATCGGCGAGGTATCAGAGTTTGTTGCTGGTATCAAGAAGCCAGATGAAGAAGACGAGAAACCAAGAAGGCACAGGCAGTCCGCTGAGCCGTCAGCATCCGCGCCAAAAGCTGTGTCGCCTTCGCCCGACGACAACGAGGACGTTCCCATGAATGGCTACCTTCCTACCCAAGATGAGCATGACTTGCGTGAGCAGGCATCAAAGGAGAACGACGAAAAGCTATCTGGCGATGAGGATATCATGGAGGAGAAGACCATCTCCGGAGGACTAGGCGCCACGCTATCACTCCTACGCGAGCGAGGCATCCTCAAAGAATCCGACGGCGCAGAGCGCCACGAAACATTTTTGAAGAAGCAAGAATTCCTAGCCAAGAAGCGCCGCATGGAGCTCGAGATCGAGGAAGCCGCGAAGCACCAGCGCGAACGCGATCGACAAAGTGGCCGCCTCGAAAGGATGGGCCAGCGCGAGCAGCAAGAATTCGCCCGACAGCAAAACACCCAACGAGACCTCCAGGCGTCCCGAAAGATGGCCGAACTCTTTAACGCCGAGTTCAAGCCGACGTTCGAGATCAAGTACACGGACGACATGGGCCGGCGGCTCGACCAGAAGGACGCCTTCAAGCACCTCAGCCACCAGTTCCACGGCAAGGGCAGCGGCAAGGGCAAGACCGACAAGAAGCTCAAGAAGATTGCTGACGAGCAGAGGCGCGAGGCGCAGAGCGTGCTGGACGCTAGTCAGAATGTGGGTATGAGCTCGGTTACGGCGCAGCAGTTGAAGAAGCGGAGGGAGGCTGGTGTGCGGCTCGCGTAAGTTCTGTGAGACATAGAAGATAACGAACAGAGGATATAGTTGGGGTGTTTTTTTGTACAGGGTTGTCGATCGGCATAGGTACCACTTTTCTCCTTTTTCACGCGATGGGTTGTGGCATACACAGGTTTATTATAACAAAAGGTGCATTTCTACCAGCTTCTTTCTTCTCCTTTCCCAAGAGTGATTGATTTCTTTGCTGACATATGTCAAGAGGGTCTCTAGATCTTGAGGAGGTAAGTGTGTCCCATTCCCTTGCACGAAGCAGAACCTGTCCGCTCCTCTGTCTCTATGTGCTATGCAAGCGGGCTACCTGGCCGCCTCCGCAGTGTGTCGAACTTGCCTATGAAGAGGAGGTTGTTGGGCTGCCTCAGAAACAGGGTGTGTAAAAACTGCTGCTCCACTTGGAGGAGCGGCCCATTATGTCCAGTGTCCAGTCCATCTTCCATCCCAATCCCCGTTCCTATTCCCGTACGGTCCGTACCTGGTCGCAGCCCGCCTGTTCGGCGATAACGGCCCCACCTGAGCTCCAGCGTCATCGTCAACTTCGGTAGCCACTTCTACCTCTGGAAGATTAGCGTACAAAGCGCTAGACAGGACTGGAGAATACGGCCTCGCCATTTCCCCGAACTCTTGCACGAGTTCTTCCCCTTCTCGTTCCATCTGGGTGATTAATTCTTCTAGCGCTGCTGAGTTGGCTGTCTCTGATAGAGCTCGGTGGGGTCTGGGTGTTGTGTTATTGTAATGGGGGCTGTTGTTTCCGTCTGGGTTGAGATGCGGGTTTGGTGCGGAGTGCTCGGGGTAGTAGTCTTGGTAGTCGTAGATCGTGTTGGTGGATAGCCTGGAAAGGTTCGATCCTGAGGGCCTGTTGGCAACTTCGTCGAGGCGATCCGATGCTCGATGCAGCCTCTGTGTATATTGCGCACCCCTCTCCGTCGCGTGAGACGATGATCTGGGATCACTAGAAGACCTGGCCAAGGGTCTTCGTCGCTGGTTATTGACGCAAGCTCCTGCCGTCTGGTTGAGTTGACTGGACACGAGGTCGCCGCGTTGCGTATACGTCCCGCTGTTCTTGGACTGATCAGAAGTCGTGGCTGTAGAGTCGCTAGAGAGACTTGATGATCCGAGGGGATTGAAAAAATCAACCGATTGTTGCACATGTTGCCTCGAGGCCACGCTTGCACCCCGCGTATACTGTGCGTCCTGCGCTTGCAGGCGATTCGAGAGGAGCGGCCGAGCGTAGTTTAGAGCTGCGTCCCGCCTTGGCACGGTCAGACTCCTGAAAAGTCCCGTAGGGAAACCGTTCGGGGTTATGCGCGGACCCCTCCTCGACACTCGGAGTTTTCTCTCTTCGGCACTTGTTAGACTCGAGTCGCCATTTCTCGATACCTGCTGTGGTGCCGACGTCAGAATTGAGAGATCCGGTCTCAAATTAAATAGGCCCCTTACACGACGTATCACCGGGCTCGGCGCCTGCGTACCCCCACCAGTTCGTCGAGCAAACGGAGAAGAACTGTCCGAGGAAGGGCTCTGACCAGGTCCCTTTGTCGAAGCCGGCGAGTCCAAGATCTCGCCCCGTGAGCTACGAACCTTGGCGGCTTGTGGCATCTCACTATAAGTAACAAGCCGAGCGGAGCGCCTAGCGCCTACGTCCTTTATGACAATAGGCTGCTGCTCGACGGTGGCTGGGACCAAGGGGATGCCTGAGCGGAAGGATTCGACTCTGTATATCTTCCCGGTGCGGACCATTCTACCTATAGGTTGAGATTTGGGTATCTGTATGAGGGGGCCGGCTTCGTTTTGGGGGGCTCGGAGATCTACTTCTCGTCTTTGGAAGATGGGGAGTTGTTTGGAGGTGGACTGGAGTTGGTATCTGTGAGTTTCGTTCCTGTTGCATGCGCAGGGCTAGTTAGTTGGGTGAAAGGGGTCATCATCAGGGCGGCGGTTTCCACGGGTACAGTACCTTGTTGAACTAGTTTCTGGCTCGTCGGCCTCGTGTTCCGGGTGGCGGACGGAGCTGTCGCGCGTTAGGATTTGGATGTATTTCTCTGCGGCTCTCTCTTGGAAGCATCGATCGGTTTGTTCTTCGAACATGCTCTTGGGATTCTCGTCTGGCTCGGAGAGAAAGGGGAAGGGGAGGGGGAGTGGAGGAAGGAGTTTGTTGAGGTCTGGGGGTGGGATTGGGGTTCCTATTGAACCCATATTTGCCTGGTCTGAATGCAGTATTGTGCGTTAGCAGAGAGGAGGAGTATGAGGAATGCTCACCTTTTCGTGTACGGCCTGTCTTGAGTTCAGTGGAGTAAGGTCTAGATGAGGTTGCTTATTGATGGTTTCTTGAGGGATTAGAGACGGGAGTGTCGCGAAGATGGCTTGGAGTCTTATACTAGAATAGGACAACGGATGCCTCGCTCTCGAACACTTTCTTGAGCTCATTAACAATAGCAACAAAGAAAAGAAAAGATAAAACACCACCATTATTCGGCTCGCGGCCTCCTTCTTTATACTATACAGTTTCCCACCTCGTCTTTGTAGTCTCCCTTTGTAGACACTCTCCAAGAAAGACAACCCAAGGCAGCCGGTTCATCCAGCCTCATGAAAGAGATTAAACACATGTAGGGAACCTTCCTCTCCTCGCCCATTCCATTCCCACCAGCCTCCAACAAAACGAACACAGTCTCATTGTGCTCCCTTCCCTTCAATCCCATCCCAAACCCCCCATTCTCACCGCCTCCTAAAGGAAAACCGCCTCAAGCATCCGTCTTAAACTTCGCCCCTTTCAATCCGTGGACGACTCTCCCCTCCCCTTCCCTCCCCGCCGTTAAATACCACGTCATGAAAAAGACCAACACCATCACCGCTATCCACGTAACGATGAGCCGGCGAGACTTGCGCGTCCGGACACCGTAGCCGTAGATTTGCGGCGCCATTTTCTCTTTCTCTCGAGTTTGTTTTCCTTTTTTTCTCCTTCTTGTTCTCGGAAGGTGCTGTACTTGAAAAGGAGGGATTTCTTTGCTGACTGTGAGGGAATTGTGTGGTCTGAGAAAAGTCTCTTTGTTTGCCGTCTTCGATTTCCCAGAGCTTCCGAAGCTTATGACGTTGTGAGTCCGGGTGTGGGATTGCCAAGAGCTGGAACCGAGTGGATTCAAAGTGGATAGTGGCGGCTCCCGGGATGCTATAGCCCCGATCGAGAATAAAAATACCGATACGTTAAGAAGAAGGATGTACGTTGTGAAGTCTCCACGATCTGGAAAAAGGAGTTAAGAATGATAGACGCGTGATATATACAAAGTCCAAATCAAGTTGCGGACTTAAACCATCGCCAAAAGTCACTTATACCTTGAAATGCTTATATAATCACACGATATAATTCTCATTCAATTTCTTGCTCTATTCGAGTCTAATAACGCCTGTTCCTATCAAAGTCTCCCAGGGGAAAAAACAAAGACAGAAAATATAATATAAACGAAAAAGAAAAAGACATCTGTTCTGTTTCCTCGCAGCTGTAGTGACTGCATGTGTTCTCTGAACGTCAAAGACAATCAGTCTAGTATCTCCGTGTAATACTCCAAGGCCAAGTGGCATAACCCCGACTCCGACGCTGTAATCGTATAGTGATCTAATCACGAAATTCATAGAGTATAAAAAAAAAGCCCAAAAGGAGACAAAGGGGAAAGAGCCTAGAAAAAAAAAAAAAAAAAGGAAAAAGGGGGATGATGGTACTCTCAAAAAGAATGAATGCATAGAACAAACGGCGCTCAAGGACGAATCTTTGAGCCGATGCTCTTGCCAATGTACCACACCGTCTCTCTATACTGACCCAATCTGATAGTCACATCCGCTTTGGCATCAAGTTTCAACGTACCGCCGAGAGCCCTTCGAACGGCATCGTACCCAATCGAGTCTGCCGACCACCGCACTGGTAGCCGCGGCGTCTTCGTAGCGCCGGGAGGCACGGCAAAGGAATCGCCGTACTCGATATGGCCGACGGGCTCAGTGTGGTTGTAGTAGGCAGTTGCGTTGACCCATTCGAGCAGCAAGGTGTTATACTCGAAAGGCGAGACGAGCGTAAACGTCGCCGTAGATGAAAACACATGGAAAGTAGCGTCCCGAATAAACTTATTCTTGTCTTCCGGGTCGTCGGATGGAAGATTGAGCTTTGGCGCCGATACCTCGATGTCGAGTTTCGAAAGTGCTTTGCCAATCAAAGGCGCCGAGGGAATGCTGCCGCCGTGGGTTTTGGCGGCGATTGTGATGTTCTCTCCCGAAAGATATCCTGAAATCAAATCCACACCGATCTTCCTTCCCTTCGCACCGCCCCGTGCTGGTTCCCACACTGCAGACACGAGTCGGTTCTCGTTCTTGCCTGGAACAATCCGCGCATTTCGAATAGTGGCATCCCCGATGACGGACCCATTCTTAATCACGTTGACAGTAAAGAAAGGTATGTAGGCAGAGTACGGTGTCGGGTTCGTCACATTGACGTATGCTTCAATGTGAATCGCATCCTCCGTCGTCTTCAGCACCCTGACTTTGTCCACACTCGGATGTAGCTTGGTCAGCGAGCCCTTTGGCAAATCTAAAAACACCCTCAAGCGTCAGTATCATAGTTCTCCTTCTAATTCAACCTCGTGTGTCGAGAAAGGGCGGAGGAAAGTGCTAAGAGATACCTCAGCGTCCAAGGCACCCACGAGGTTTCGGGGCTTATCAAGAGGGTCAGTGGAACATGGACGGACGTTTTACTGGGATATTCCCTTCGGTGGGAACTTTATTGAGCACGAGCTCGCCGAGCGCCGTTTCCACCTTGATATCCACGAGGGCCTTAATATCGAGGAGGACATCCTTGTCGCCGAAGATCAAGGCTTGCAGAACCTGTGTGAATACGTCCGAGTCCGTGATATTGAGAGGCACGTCCTCTACACGGGAGTTGATGATCAGCGAAGCCTCGCCACTAGCAGGGTCGTCGGATCTTGTCGAGTTCGCGTGTTGCCAGTCCTTGATTCGAAGCTTTCCGAACGGCCGCTTTTTGTAGAAAACATCGGCTGTGGCCTTGATATTCGTAACGTTGAGCTCCAGGTTCAGTTCCTTGGGCAGCGCAGCAACAGCGCGAATTGTCCCTGAGACGGTCGGGTCCGCGTCCTCGGAATCCGGGTCAGCCAGTGGATCTGGAAGTTGAAAATCGACATCGGTCAACGAGAATTCCTTGATGAGGTCGTCGAAAGACCTGCCGGGGAACGGTACCGGGATGGCAAGACTCGAGAGAAGCTCCCCAATCCACTCGGGAGTGTCCGAGTTGGGGAGTTTTCTGCCCCTGACAACCACGTTGGCCGGCTTTCCATTGAGGTAACGGTGGATGAAATCATCTAGCGGAGAGGAGCCGGATCCAGGGCATTCACGAATAAGAGACTCTGGAAGTTCTTCGATCGCGCCATGAACATCAATGGCAACTTCTGAGTTGGCACGGATGGGCAGAGGTTCCGTAACGGCCAGGGCAACTGGAATGAGGGGGTCTGCGGCGGCGCAATTGGGCACGAGCACCTCAAAACCGAGCTCGGGTACATCGAGCTCTACTGGGTACTTGTTGTACGACAAAATGGTGACATTGGCACCGACGGCCCTCTTATCGGGCGCGGATCCAGGAATATCGCTGAAGGTGAGTCGAGAGATATTATACGGTGGCAATTCAGGCATTTTGTTCGCTGGAGGAAAGCATTAGCACATGAACGCGACTCGAGTAATTGTTGCAAAATATAGCAAGTGCGCAAGTGAGGGAGCATTATAAGTTAAATAAGAGGAGGAAGGGCCGAGCCGACTTTGACCAGCATAGTCAGACGGATCAGAAGAATACTTTCTCCCCAAAATACAACGACGCAAAGGAACGATAGAGAGATTGACCTTCAACAATAAACGACTCAACAACAGAGTGCGTGCCGAGAGGGAGCACTCCAGTTCTGAGCGAGACATCAGCCTTCCCCAAGAGTCTGACTCTATCCAGCTTTCCTTCCAACCACTGATTGGCGACCGATCGAATGCCATCCGCATCGCCGGGAGCCAGCTCGGCAATGATATCGATCGACGTGCTATGTCCGTCGGTGACACTAATAGTCATGGGCGGTAGGATAGCAGTTCCCAGCAAGATGTTGTCGTACTCGGGAAGATAAACGCCCACCAGCGTTTTCTCGGTTCCGAGGGAGCCGACCAGCCAGGTGGCGACGCGGCCGATACGCCGAGGCCCGTCTTGTCGTACCCTCGATCCATCGAGACGGAAATTCGCCTGCACCCTCGCTCGCACTCCGGTCGCCGTGATAGACTCAAGTGATAGGTTCGTCGGTTCCAGTACAGCAGCCTGCTTTGCATATTCTTCGACCGCGGCGGGAACGAAGAAGGCTACTAGCATTATGGAGATGGTGATGGATATTAATATTACGCCGGCGACAATGGACGGCCATCCGGCTGATGAGTAGCTCTTTAGCGAGTGTGAGGATGAAGGTCGGTCGTCCGCACTGCGCGGTGACGTAGCTTCAGGTTGGGCATCGTTATCTTCGGCGTCGTGCTCCTCGCCATCGTATCGAGTTATGGAGGCCGACCCGGACAGCAAGGGAGTTACTTCAGAGGAGTCGTCTTGAAGGTCCGCTTTTGTCGCCTTGGCCTTTCCTTTCCTCGACGACGCCCGCGTGGAGACGGACGACTCTTCGTCACTCGACATTGTCGACGTCGGGGCCGGGGCGAATAGTAAACTCGAGTTTTAGGGTGCGTGCAGCGGTGTGATATGACAGAGACCTTCGGTAGGATTTTACAGGTTGTTCTAGAGTAAAGACAACCTTGGTGAATAATTGAAAGGTCGTCGGGAAGTGTAAATGGATAAGAGAATGGATAAGAGGGCGGGATGGAGTGGCGGCGGGCGGTATTGAACTATGGGTCCCCATCGATCCGCTACTTTGGGCTTGGGCACTCTTAGCGCACTGTCGCTCTGGCGTGCCTGCTGAGCTGGATTACGAAGATCACGTGGAGACGATGGTCAAGCGGAAATCCATCACATGATTGGTCGGGCTCCCCGCCTCCCTTCTTATCTAAGTTAACCTTTGTGTCGGTACCTGGTGCCTTGGGAGGAAGGAGTGCTCGAGGCTTGGCGAATTCGGCTAGCATCGTGATGTCACCTGCAAAGTTTGTTTGAGGAGATCGGATTATTAATTTTTGGATTACTTGGGATTAACAATCGAATGGAATCTCAAGATGTGTCATATTTCCGGAAACATTAGGAAAGTAACTTGACCGAATCTCAACCTAATCGCTATGCTCTTTGCACTTTGTAAGCTAAAGGATTGGTCCTGATTCGCTCTCTCACTAGAGGCCAAAGGTAACAGTATCAATTGATATCTTGTGGCTTGGGTAGAGCAACAATAGATTGGCGCCTAATACGGAAGGATGTCAAGTGTTGCACTTTTTAGTCTCTTCCGTGGATCCCGAGCCTATTCTAGACATGCTGACGGTAAACAGCAGAGGGTGGGTAAGAGCAGATCCTGTTAGCTAGCTCCGGCGACAATCAGGAGACTCGTCTGCGCTCATGAATAACAAGAGCTCGGAGCTCAGCAGGCTCTCGTAATCTAGCCAGTTCGTCCAGAGCTCGGTTAGCATTAGCATCAATAGCGAGACACAGTGAGAGCGCTCTTCTGTGAAGCGCCGTCGGCTCTACAATGGATAGGTAAATGCTAGTTTAGCTGTCGAAGCGTCAGGATAGCACGGTCAGTCGTTAGCTACGCCAAGGCGGGGAAACACGGTCGCGAACGGCTCAGAAAGCCCCTGCTTTGTGTCAGAGATAGAGGTCACAGCCTCAAACTACTAATCGTATACAAGTTTGGACGTTGACAACAACCGGAAGGACAACGGTAGGTGGGCAAGGACGTCGTACCAGCATCAGTTACCTCGGTATAGATATCACCATTGCTGTGCGCAAGACTTTTGACGGCAGCAATGGCGAGCGAGAAGTGGACTCGGGGGTGCTAACCCGGCATGTCGACGCCTGAATCCGATTCAGCAATTCTTACACAGCCAAGTCTGAGCCAAACCTTTCTAACCGACTCCAAGCTTCCCTTGGAGCGGTGTTCATGAGCCTCGTAGAGGCTGAGCATGTAGCTCGCTTGGAAATTTCTAAAAGGGGTATTTTTAGAGTCCCTGGAGACCTTTCTTTTCAGTCATTTTGCATCACTTATACTACCTGCGCACGAGACGGTCCGCTTTCCTATCCGTTTGAGAACGCATGTTAGACTAACTTGAGACCATGCTGAGTTGGGTCAGTCGCGCCAATAAAGTTCATAACGTTTCCCAATTCTACAATACTACCTGTTAAAGACCCGGCGGCGGAGGAACCTGTGAACGCGGTTAGCAAGAGCATCTTCAAAGATCGGCAACATAAGCGGCTGGGGTGGTGACATACTGAGCCGTAGCCACCGGAAACGCCTGGAAGGGAAGGTCCGGACCCTGGAGGTGGCGGAGGAGGAGCCGCAGTGCTCGGAGGAGGAGGGGGTGGTGGTGAATCCGCTGGGGGAGGAGGAGGGGCTGCAGAAGTGGGCGGCGCGGGACCTGAAGGAGGTGCAGGCGATCCCTGTTGGGCTGCTTGCGCCTGGGCGGCGGCGTAGTACTGTTGATAGTATTGGACATAGCTAAAACGAAGCGAGTAAAAAAATGTTAGTGCTCGGCCGTAGAAGGCTGTGAGAGAGTATCATGTAAAACATACGCAGCGTAACCACCGTAAGCGGCATAGGGGTCTTGTCCACCGTAGTATTGCGCATATTGGGCAGCATAGTCCGCCGCGGAGGCAGAGGTAGTGGCGGTGGGCGCACTCGAGGTGGTAGGTGTATTTGGACTAGCCGATCGGGGTTCATTGCTGTAGCTGTTCCTGCCGTAGCCATGGTAAGAATCGCCGCCACGCGAGGGGTGGCCTCCATGACCACCATGACCACCATGGTCACCGTAGCTTCCACGATCACCATAGCCTCCGCGATCGCCGTAGGTTCTACGCTCACCGTAGCCTCCACGGTGGTCACCGCCACCACCGCCACCATAACTCCTCGGAGGCCTACTCTTGAACTCCTCGTACTGCTGCTTGACATTGTCAATCAAATCTTCGCATAGTTCCTTAGCCTTCTGAACCATTTCTATCTCACGACCACTAAAGAAAGCCTGTTAGCAAAGGGGTTTGGGAAGAAATGAAAGGGAGGGTAAACGTACGTCACATGAAGGAACATATCCTCGTCGCTTTCACGGTTAGTCGCTTGTTCGAGGAATCCAGAGCCACGGCCTTTGATCTGCACACGGCAGCCAGTCTCGTGTTGAATGTGCTTCACATAAGCACCTCCCTGGCCAACAACCTGGGCGCGAAGGTTGAACCCAGGCAAGGGTTCTAGGTTGATGGGAATCTTCTCCTCGGGCCATTTACGCTGCAGCAAGTTAGTCGGTATGCGGAAAAAAGGGGGGGGGGGGGGGGGGGGGGGGGGGGGGGTCGCGGCCCATTTGCATACTCTTCCGTATTCGTCCCGCTCGACAGTATCTTGTTCACGTCGGCGCAAGCGACGTTCGTCAACCAAGTTTGGAAGCTCTTGTTTCATTAGATCTTCGATGATTGCAACGGCCTTCTCGAGTCCCTCTTTGGAAGTGCTTGTCACGTGCAAATAAAGCGGAGGATTCTAAACGGCGAGTCAGTTGACTGATTTGTTTGTACATGTCGGGGAGCCATACGGTTGGGGTGGCCATGCTCTTATCAGGTAGGTATTTCCCACGAGTGGTAACGTCTTGAATCGTGTTAGCTTGATGCGATAGACAATTAAGAGAGGAGGTTGCTTCCATACCAGCACCAGTTTGAGCTTTGATGTCGTTGAGGGTCGCACTTCTCGTGATGACATATTTGTTTCGCAAATCGTTGATCTCGATATCCTTGATGTAGTCGCCATCAGAGACATACATATCTCCACCAATAACACCGCCTTCTTTGGTCTTTCCGAGGGGAGGCGCGGGAGTCGAGTCGGAGTCGGATGGAGACTTGATGGAGGGGACATCCGCGTGATGGATGCCTTTCTTAGCCTGGAGTTGAGCATTAATCTTGGCAGCAGCGGCAGCTATTTTGGGAAGTTAGGATCTTGACCAGCAGAAGCTCATTTCGGGAGGAGCAGAGGTGGGATTTCTTACCAGCAGCAGCGGCAGGATCTACACCGGGTCTTTTCGTGTCACCATCAGGACGAGAAATTGGGCTTCGCTCGCGGGGCGCATCGGAGCGCTTAGAAGGAGGCGATCGAGATCGACGGTCAAACCGAGATGGGCGCCTAGGTTCGGGCTCGGTTTGGTCGAAGCGCGACCGCTTCATGGTTCGTCGCTCTGCATCATCCATGCCGAGAGATGATGTGGTGTTCGACGAGGAGCTCGGATCTGAGAGAATTCAGATAAAAACTGCGAAAAGTTGAGAAAAATGGAGAAATTAGGCTCTTTTCACGAGATTAGCCTCATGGAAAAGGCGATTTGTTTGAAGCTTGATGAATGCAGGTTGCGGGCGTGAGTCCGACGTAGGGGGAGAAATCCTTAAGGCTGATGAAGAATGCTCAAGGCAGGCCAGGCATACATTGATGGGCCGAGATAATTTATTGATTTGAACGGAGATTATTACGAGGTACAAGTCTACTTCTTGCTTGGGGAATGCACACTGTACAATTGAAAGCTCCTGGCTATTCTTCGGCTGAATCTGCTGTCTGGCATCCCGAAGGCCCGGATCTTGACTGGTCTGGTGACCACGCGAGACCGACTCTGGTTAAGCTCCAAACTCACGTCCGAGGAACAATGTTAGTGGACCACTGAACACTACATAACTCCATACGCCGATAGAGAGCGAGGGTCTTGCATTCCCCGGCAAAATTTCCCCAACACTGCACCCAAACAAAACGGTGAGTCAGTGTTGCTCTCTCACCTCTTCCATCCCTTTCCCGGTAGCCATTGGGTCTTGCAAACCACTGGCAAATTATCCACCGTTGGCTGCGAGACTCTACATTTTCTGATCGGACGAAGAACTTCCTACTGGTTCTTGTCCTCCGGTCAGCAAAATGGCGTCTCGCCGCCTGTTATCGATGCCGCTGTTGCGGACAGCGACCAAGGCCCCCGTGACCGTCTCCGCGACTCAGCTTCGCAATGGCTCATCTTCCTCTTCGACTTCCGCCCTCGCCTACAAGGCCCTCCGCCTTCGCTCCGGCCCCCTCCCCGTTGCCGAATCGCCCACCTGGACTGCCCAGGCGGCCGTCTCTAACATTCTCTACGAGACGCCTCTGCCGTCGACGGCTCCTCCTAAGCGCCACATCCTCAATTGTCTCGTAGCGAACGAACCCGGTGTCCTTTCTCGCATATCCGGTATTCTTGCTGCTCGTGGCTTCAACATCGACTCCCTCGTCGTCTGCAGCACCGAGGTCGACGACCTGTCCCGTATGACCATCGTCCTGCGAGGCCATGACGCTGTCATTGAGCAAGCTAGGAGGCAGCTCGAGGACTTGGTCCCTGTGTGGGCTGTGCTCGACTACACCAACACGGCTTTGGTGCAGAGGGAGCTTCTCCTAGCCAAGGTGAACATACTCGGACCCGAGTACTTCGAGGAGCTGCTCGCCCATCACCGCGAAATTTCGGCTGCCGAACCTGCTTCTGAGGAAGCCCATACCTCAATTGAGCAGTCTATCAACCAGGCTGCCAAGGATTTCCACCCCAGCAGGCTCGCCATGAGCGAAGCTCTCCGCCACAAGCACGAGCATCTCAAGTCGATCACCTACTTCACTCACCAATTCGGAGGCAAGGTCCTCGACATCAGCACCAACAGCTGCATCGTCGAAGTGTGAGTCATCTCCGCGCCATCCACCATATCCATGTAATCCTGAAAAATACTAACTGATAACAACGTAGTTCCGCCAAGCCCGACCGTATCGACTCCTTCCTGAAGCTTATCACCCCCTTCGGTCTCTTGGAATCGGCCCGCACCGGCCTCATGGCGCTGCCCAGGTCTCCTCTCCTCGACCCCAAGGATGACGCTATACAGAAGGATACGGATGAGATTGTCGACGCTAGCCAGCTCCCCCCTGGTTAAATGTATTTTTTTTTTTTTTAATGTTGAAATTTTTCTAGCCCAGTTTCAAGTCATCCTATGTCAACGTGGATTCGGACGGCCTCTGGTTCCTAGAGGAGTTTGTTAGTTAGGATATCCTAGGCGTTTTTAGGATCAACTACTGTATTTGTTGACGTGTTGGCCTCTCTGCTTCTCGCCGTTTTGTGAATGTCTCCTTCATCGGCACCCCAAAGAGAGTCTTAGATGGTGGCGTTAAATTTGTGGGAGTTGGTTTTTCATGTTGACCAGTCCCCCCGATGTCGGCGTCGGCAGGAGTACGTCCCTTCTTGCTCGAGACCATCCGACACTATCTAGATATATCATTTACCTATACGCGAATCGACGTGGATTGCGTATTAGAGCTCTTGACGTCTATTAGACCGATGCACTATTGATTCAAATGATTGATGGCAGTTTTGTCCACTTTGATGCTGAACATTTTGGTGGGGTTGAGCTGAGATTTTGCCCGATTGATCCAATGCAACGGCCTGTGGAGCCCCGCATTGAACTTCCAACAGCTCCCCTCTATTTCTGCAGGAGCTCTAAACTCCCCGTCACGGATCATCAGCTTCGCCGCCCAAACGACAACGAGCGTCAACTCGCTACACATTGATCAAAATGAGCCACCAACGGTACCCTTCCCACGACCCGATAAAAGAACCACACGCAATATCCTTAAAGGTTCTAAGGTAAAGCCCCCTGCCCAACAAGCAGGCCATGCGAAACGAACAGTAGCTCCTAGGCAGAATCTCAGAAGAAACGTACTAACACAATCAAGGCTCTCGCGACCCTCCCTCGTCGTCCAATACCCCGTTCAACCACCGACAGCAACAACCCCCACAACTACAACAATCCAACCCCCCTCCTCCGAAGCCTCCCTAGCCTACACGCGCTCCGACACAAACCCCGACCCCTTCATCCTCTCCCCAGCCGTCAGCCTCCCACTCTCCTTCGGCTCCGCCTTCGTGGGCGAAACCTTCAGCTGCACCCTCTGCGCCAACAATGACCTCGACGCACCCGAAGCCGGCGCCGGCGCCCCTCTACAAAAACACATCCGCGACGTCCGCATCGAAGCCGAGATGAAAACTCCCGGCGCCTCCTCCACGGTGACTAAGTTGAACCTCCTCCCCGCCGACGACGGCGCAGTGGGCTCATCGTCGGGCGTAGACCTCGAGCCGGGCGAGACGCTGCAGAAGATTGTGTCGTTTGATTTGAGAGAGGAGGGAAATCATGTACTTGCCGTTACGGTGAGTTACTACGAGGCGACGGAGTTGAGCGGGCGGACAAGGACGTTTAGGAAGTTGTATCAGTTCATATGCAAATCTTCGATGATTGTGAGAACGAAAGCGGGACCGTTGAGAAGAGTAGGCGGTCAAGGGGAGGAAGGCAAAGGCGGTGGGCCCAGAAGTCGGAGGTGGGTGCTTGAGGCGCAGTTGGAGAATTGCAGCGAGGACGTGATCCAGTTGGAGAACGTGCTGCTGGATCTAAGGGATGGGCTAGAGTATAGCGATTGTAATTGGGAGATGGGAGGGGTGCCGAGGCCGGTTTTACATCCAAGTGAGGTGGAGCAGATTTGTTTTGTTGTGAGGGAGAAGGAGGGTGCCAGCGTGGCGGATGAGGCTGATGGGAGGACGGTGTTTGGGACGCTGAGTATTGGATGGAGAGGGGAGATGGGAAATAGAGGGTTCTTGAAGACGGGGCAGCTTGGATCGCGGAGCTTGAGGCAGTCGAGGTAGGCGGTGAGTTTAAGTTGGGGTTAGGAGATGGTGGAACGGTGCCTGATTATTTTAATGTCCTGATGAAAAGGTCAATGATATACTGTAGATCGTACGCAACGTTGAGATATCATGTATCAACATTATTCTATTATTCTATTGTAAACGAGGATCCATGCTAGTCCCCTAGTTCGTGATATCTTAGATGTGCAGCAACTGCAAAATGTGGGATCTTATATCCACATTGAGGACATATCTCATAGCCGCTAAAATCATCGCCCACGGCCTCCCAATCCTCCTCCATCTCATCATAATCGTCGCTAGTAGGGGGTGGTTTCCCCTGCACTTCTTTCGGCGACGATTGGATCCTGAAGGGCCGTAATACTTCATCTTGCGTCTTGAACATAACCGAGATATCCCTCCCTATCCCGGCACCGTCATCGCTACCGGTCAAGACCATATTGGCCGCACAGATGTTCAAAAGCATAATTTCCCACCTATGGTCCCTTCCAGTTGGGAACTTCTTGAGCAATGGCAGGACAGCCTCGGAGACGAGGCGGCGGGTCAACTCGTCCAGGTCTTCCTTTATCCCGAAAGCGAATGCCGGCAGCGGTCCAGAGCGGGAGATGCGCGAGAAATAGGACTGGTCGGCCGTTATCGGAGCATTTATCGAGAGTCGTAACGTCCTCGGGCGGGCAATCCATCTCCGTGTTGATAGTCTATGGGGATTAGTATCGTCGGCCATGAGATCTACCCGCATCCGGCGGAGTAGAGATTTGGAAATCTTGTGGAGCTCTTTGGTGATGGTGTCTAGGTTATCAAGGGGTTGTCTGTAGGTGTCTTCGATGCTAATCTGTGTTGGAATGTCGCTTGCGCTCTTCACTTCGGTGTCATCCACGCCGTGGAGCAGGCCCCACACTCTATCCCCGGTTCCCCTTTCGGCTCCAGGGCCTCCAAGTATGCTTTCAAGCAGAGCCGGTGACATCCCCGGATAAAAGCGGACTTCGCCGGCCGTCAAGGGACAGTCGTGCGACATGGGCTCGGGAGGAGGTAAATCTGGTCTTAGCTTCATAACGAGAGCTCTTGCGGCCTTGAAGCCGATATAAGGTACCTGGCGGAGAACGTGACGGTCTACGAAAGCGGTGACGTCTTCTTCTCTGAGAGCAAGGAGAGTAGTTTGGTTTCTGGGTTTGTTCCTGTTCCCCGCCATCTTACTAAGGACCTTGTTCGTGGAGATGCCGCAAGTAGACGTGAAGCCAAAGTCGTTCTCCAGCTTCATCCTGAGGTAATATGCCAGATGAGAACCGAGTAAGAGTCTCACACTGAGGGGATCGCTCATGTCTATGGGGTCATCCGTGAAGCGCTCAACGCAGCCCGCGAACCTGGTTAGGTCACATATGAAGCCCTTTTCGGGATCATTCTTGGAAAGGAAGAAAAAGGTTGACGAAAGCGATGCGCGGTTTAGACAAAACATGTTGTAGTCGATAATGTCCGTCACATCTATGAGGGTGTAAGTGACGGTTGTTTCATCCAAGGAAATGAGGCAACTCACCCATAAAGACCTCGTCGAGACCAAGCTTCTCCACCTTTCCATTCCAAGAGTGAGATCTAAGCATGGCATATAGCTTCTTGCTCACATCCCGAAACGGGGTCAAGTCCTCGCCATCGATGATGACGATATCAGGACACACCTTCTTGGCGGCGGAGATTTGAGAAAGCTTGGCAACTCCACGGCCTCGTGCGACGTAGTTGCATGTCGCCAAGATGCCCTTTTGCTTGACGCCGATTGGCAAGGTCTTAAGGGCTGGATTCTGGTTCTCGAAGACGGATGCGTAGAAGCAGTCGTAGTCCTAGGCAGGCAGCCAGAGGGCGTGAATCAGTTTGAGAAATTCCGGGGACTCAGTCGATTATCTAGCGGATGACGTCTTTATTAGGGTTCATCTTACAAATTGGAGGATAATTCGATCATTCTTCCTTTTCGGCGGCTTTGGCGGCTGCGGATCCATGCCGTCATGGTCTGGAAGTTCTGCGTGTTATGTGTCTAGATTCACGTATGACAGAACCAGCTGAGGTGTCGATGGGTTTAGGCGAGAGCTGCGCAAGAACAGCGACTGTCAACCAATCCAGTGATTGAAAGTAATGCTTCATCGCCAAGCCAGGTCGTAGTCGAGGTGGCATTCAGCGCTAGCGTAGCACTCGGCGCAGGAGCTAGCCCCTGTATTAGTCTTGTCCTTGATAGGCGTTAGCGGTTGCAATTGATCAAATTGATGCTACAGTAGCTCATCCATCACTAAAACTAGCCCCCAATGAACCAATTCGTCGATTGATTTCCAACCGCAACTACTATACCTAAGGATCCTAAGTCCCAGGAAAATCTAGTGACATTGTGCACAAGCATGGCGAGTTGATAGAAGATAATTTGGGCATTTTAGAGCCGATCTTGTCGCGCTGCAGAAGAGAAGCGGAGGTGCCGAGAAATAGAGATTCTGGATGGGAACATCATCAACAAAGTTTTGATGAGCCCCTCCCCACCGGTTCCCTCTCACTGAACTTTATTTGCGTGAAAAATAACTTGGAAAAAAAAAAGATGTGTTTCCTTGTGTAAAATAACCATTTGCCAACGTCTTGGTCCGGAAGGTACTGATCAATTCTAGAGACCGACCCTAATTATTATTGCGGCATCACAACCAAACATCGCAGCTGAGCACCCCAGCAGCCTGGCCATCCTCCCCCTGGCATAGCCGTGAGCCGAGTTCCCGATCTACCGATACTTCAAATTGCAAAGATACGTATACTCTGGGATGGGGGCCTAGTGAATCTTAGAGAATGCTGGCTGCAGGATAAGAGCCTCCACGTCAAAATGATATGTGATTAGATTGAAGATGGGCTCCCTCTCTCCTTCGACACCCTTATTACTCAACAAGCACCAGACAAACTGACGGAATATCTCTCAGGACTATCGCCAAGGAGAACTAGTCCGGAGATACCCCTCGCTAAACTTCTCCCATAGAGCAAAGAGGCACAAAAGCCAAGTCCGATGGTGGACGCCGCCTGGCTAACATTTCGAGCATTCGGTGGGCGGGAGAGAAGAGGGACTTGCGAGGAAAGCCTAGCCTACCCTTTGAGGTTAGTCCCTCTTGTGTTACGCTTCTCTGAAGTGTGGGGCGTTGCAAATTATAATGCATTCGGGATTTCCGAGGAGGATGGCTGGACGAGGGAATATCGTCAACGAAGGCTACAGTAGTAGAGGCAGACCAAGTCCTCCAGCTGAGAGGATACGAGGAGTGAGAGACGAGAGCGAGAGTGCCGCATCCTCAATGCTTACAGACTAGACTGTATTCGAACTGCCGTCACGAAGACGAAAGTGTTGGGGATAGAGAGGAGGCGGTCAAGCGATAATGGGGGATCAAAACTTGTGTGGCCCAGTGTTGCGGGTGCAGGTTCTGGAGTAGGGCTGGTCCCATACATGTCGATGCCAACACGTGAAAGAAATGAACCGGGATCCTCTGTAATATCCCCTGTCCATGGATTTTGTGGAAATCGGTCTTGATTCCTACCTGTTATCAGTTAATCCCTCTTCACTCCTCACCTGTATCTTGGGGAGATTGCAGTTGGAACTTTCGGGCTGGGAATCTCACGAGCCGCCTCCAGGCAGTAAAGCCTGGTCCAGATTGGGGTTGGCGGGGAATCACTAATTCGGGGCAGCAAGCGAACCCAGTTGGATCGGCCCAACCGAGGTCTGTTTCCCCCGTTCTTTTCTTCTTTTCTTTTCTTTTTGCCCTTTTTCTATTTATTTATTTTCTGGCTCTTTTGTATTCATGGAGGTGGGGTTCTTTGATACTGGTATAAGAGAGCAGGCTTGTTCCCGTCAAATGTTCGCGAAGACAAGCAGCATTGTGGTGATCCGGTAAGACTTTGCATGTAATATGAGGAAGACCAAGTTGCCCAAGCATCAAAAAGACCAAGAAGTAGGAACGCATGAAGCCATTCAACGAAGTTCGCTGGTTGGTCCGGGGCTGTTGTATCTGCAGTATTTCAAGTATTTCAACAACTTGCTCCGGCGACCGAATCTAACCAGAACGCAGCCGCCATTGGCAATAACAGAGCCGCCATTGACGCCAGGGGTTCGTTCTTGTCTGTGAATCTGTGATGAGCCTCCGTCAGATTGGGACAGGACACAGACTTGGCCTTGGCAATATTGGCAATAATTGCCAGCCTCTTTCGGGGAATGGGCCTCGACAATCAGTCACCGGGGTTTTGGTTTCCGAGTCCCGATTGATGGGGAGGCCGATGGAAGGATGGATCCCTCCCTCTCATCACCCATCACCCATCCCATGTCCTTTCTCCTCCTCATCGAAAGGCGGGGTTGTTCTGGCTTGCTGTAGGCAATAGCCGCCAAAACCAGTCAACACACCCAAACAGCCGCCCGCCTCGAACCATCATTGGCGACGATCCATGCCACTTCCGGCCAAGACCGGATCTGGTTGGCGCTTGCGACCATCACCCTGCATGCCGCTATCGCTGGTCCCCTGCACGATCCTCACCAACCATAGGCCAGGGATGGCAGCTCGCTGAGGTTTTCCGATGTGCTCTTTTTCTCTCGGTTGTGACCCTGACCACTGGTGATATTCGAGCAGGCGCCCATCACACATCACTCATCACTCCATGGCCCAGGCCCGAGGTTCGTTTTGCTGTCCCAGTCTCTCTCTCCCTCGAGACCCTGGACCCCCTTGGGGGAATGAAAATATGTGGAGCCTGTGAGATCCTTCGGTCGCGTCTAGGAAGCACGAATTAAGGCCTTGGGACGCTGGGGTGCCAGTGCGCCACCCTCATTTTCTCGTCACATTGCAGGTCTCTGATGAGGGAACATGGAATGAAAGATCAAGTCCGAGTCACTTTCTCCCGGCAATTTCACTTAATTATCTTCTTTGTTTTGTTCCTTTAACTATGGAACGAAGCGGCAGAGTAGGCGAGCACATCAATTGCGAAATAAAGAGTATAAACAAGAAATACATTAGATGATTCGAGTGAGAATATTCCCACCACGACATGCAGCATGCAGCATGGTACATATCACCCACCCTTCCCTCGATACGATACTCGGATCCTTCACACCCCGCGGGCGTCAATCAAGTGCTTTCTGTTTTTTTCCCAAGCCCGCAGAGTGTGTGAATGTGTGACAGACCCATGGTCGTGAGGGGTCGACTGTTAGTCTGTTTTTCTTCTCTTGTTTCTTAAATAGACGCCGAGTCCCCCTTCCACCTCGTCTGTCTTCTCCGCCCCCAACTCTTGATCGTGAGTTGCTATTATTATTGTTTTAGGGTTTGATCTTAGGATCCGGGTCTGTTGATCAGCCTATCCTTTTTTATTTTTATCGGATTGTCATACCGTGGCTTCGACGTTGCCAGCTGTTGGCTTTAGCTTCTTCCACTTTGACCCAACAGCACTGCTCAGCCTCCGCTTCCTTCGATCGCCCTGCCCGCCTCTTTGTTTGTTAACGAGCCATCACTTTCGTCTTATTTTAATACGAGGCGTCATAAGGGCTTTTCGTCACCCCAGTTCCGATCAAACCATTACTGGCACTTTCCAACTTGCACGTCTAAAAGTCTGGCCAATTTGATACCCAAGCCCCTCTTCGCCGTGATGGCTTCTCAACCAAGTAAGCCCAGGAGGCCAGCCCTCCAGATCAACACTACTCAAGTTCCTCATTCCAAAATATCTTCCTCGAGGAAAATTGTCATGGTCAATCCAAAGGACCCGACCGCTTTCAATACGCTCTCCAATGTCTACGCCACCGTCATCGACCGCAAGACTCCCGTACAAGCGGAACCTCTTACCGCCATCAAGACTCGGCGACCCCTTCAGATCCAAACGGTGGGACTCAAACCTACCGAAGACACCAAACGGACAGTCACGCCTTATATCCCCCATGGACCGACATACCCCGAGACGCCTCTCACGGCCCACCCAAAGTCTCCCATGAACAACCCCGAGTTCGTCTTTCCCAGCACAATGACCAGCACTCCTCCTCTTTCTGCCGGCCCGGTCGACCCCAACACTCCATGCTTTTCTTTTGCGCCTTCCGATATGACTAGGAAGCTCAGTGTTAGCAACAACGAGGTCACAACGCCATGCCTAACGGCAGTGCCCACAACCCCACGTCAGGGGAGAAGCGGCCCTATCTACAAAGCCCACCCGCCACCTTACACACACCCGCGATCTCTCCACAGCATCCTCCGCAACTCTCCTCTTCCTCCCTCCAGTGCTCGCGTGCCTCCCTCGCCGCGAAGACAATCTCTACGTCTACAAGAGAGGGCGGCAAAGCGTGTCGGCTACAATAGCCCCCTCGAACAAACAATCGTTAATAGCAAGTACATCTTCTCGCACGTCGACCTCCTTTCCGAGGATGCGTCGCCCTCACCCATGTCCCCAGACCCCATCCCTCAAGTCTTGCCCACAGTCGAGGTTGAAATACCCTCCGCTGTTGGCGGCGAGACGAGGGATGGCGGCATGACTCCGGGTCCCTTGGAAGACATGAGACGCAAGATGGCTGGACTCGGAACCTCCTCGCCCCTCACGGCCTCGGCAGGTATCCGCAAGCGAAAGAGGAAGGGAAAGAGGCGCCATTGGACTTGGACCATCAATCAAGACGACGACCCCGATGAAGAAGTCGGTGGCGCCATCGCGGCGCTTCGCGCTGCCGAAGCGGCCGCAAAGGCGAAGAATGCAACCCCTACGACGCCACTGAGATCCGTTGCTTCGGCGACTCACTCTTCGGTCTACCCTCAGCCGACCATTTACGTCTCCGACTCAACGCCGAGCCTCTGTAGCCAGGAGGACTCTGGGCCGGAGCGCGAGGACATCGAAATGTCGGATTCGAGTAGCTTCCTATCGGCGAACAGCAGCCGGTCCGTGACTCCTCATGAGATGGAGCTGGATGAGCTTACGCCCTTGGTGCAGAGTAGCCAGTCGGGCTTTTCGGTGACGAGGGCGACGAGGGCGGCGA